CATTTTCTTTGATACGTATTATTCCAAAGAGCTATAACATACACATTATGTTATTTAAATAAGCCTTTAACTGTTTAAAACGCGAAACGTATTATTTAGTTATTTTCAATTTGTTTTAACTAACGCCCAACGTTTCCGAGGCATCAGCCGTGATCACATGGGGACCGGCGATGGACTGGGTTCCAAACGTCCGAGTCAAATATACGAATTGCACTAATAAATGCAAACATTTCGTTGATTATTCATCGAGGAACTTTGAGTACACTGATGCACATCGATAAATATGGTACAGACGTGTACCAAAACATTTATGGGTCTAAATAAAACCCTTTAACGGTTTAAAACGCAACGTATATTAGTTCAACGCATTCCCCCCTTAATGTAAGAATAATAAGACGAAGAAGTCTTCCCGTCTGCTATAAAGCATCCGAAACGTCGCGTCGGGCCGTAGTTGAAATAATTATCCAATAGGTTTAAAGAGTTTTATTTAAATGTGTAGGTACTATTCGCGTAAACCACAGACATTATTTTATTGTATTTTTTTTAGATTAAAATCTTCGCTCTGTCGTATGTTATATTCTTTGGCCTGATTCGCGAACAATGTACTATTCTAGCTATAGAGTATATGACGTCATTGGCGAGTTGTGTAGGTGTCGGTTTACAACAGAACCTATAAAAGGTACTTTTCAGGGTTCCGTAACGAAATGGTAAAAACGATAGGGTTCTAATCATAAACCGATTGTTTGAGTGGTGAAATTTTCATAAATTGTGTAGTTTTATTGTCACTATACAATGCAACAACCTGCCATGTCCACACGCTACTTTCCTCTATTTTGGCTATATAGAAAAAAATGAAAATATGAAATCTATGTTTAAAATAAATGCACGTAATTCTATAGCGTTATTTACACACGTTTAAAGTTTCTTGGAAAATGATGGTGGAGTAAAAAAAAAATAGATATTAATTTAAAATGAATTATTTATGTATCTTCAATTAATTCTTTGGTCTTATTGTTGGTGGTTATAAAATATTGTTACGTAACGTACTGAGCATAACCAAACCTTTACGAGCGAAGTAAGCAAAACAGGAAAGCTTATAAAGCTATAATTTCTTAATAAACCAACAAAGGTATTGCACCTTCGTAATCCGTGACGTCATGGCTCAGGGTCGCTGCGTACGTTTTGTTATTACCTGGTTATTTCTGGTTCCTATTTGCACAAATGACTCGTTTTCATCGCACATTGCTCGTTTGTCGAAGGATAAAGCGTGGCTCGCAGTTTATGGGTGTTTTCGATTTCCTCTATAAATACAAGGAAGTCCTGTTTTTTCGTTCTCACATATTTTTTAATGCCTCAGCGTATGTTTCTAAAATCAATATTTAAATTACTAGCTGCGCCCGCGACCTCGTCCGCGTGGACTAGAGATTTTGGGCATCATATTCGTTTTTGCTATCCACCTCCTTTCCTCGTACATTATAGCTCTTACCCACGACGTCGTATGCGTCTCATCCTCTCGTTCTTGCTAAACTTTAAATGCTGTCAGTCCATTTCAATAGGAATCATCCTTTCATGTATGAAAACATGAAATTTTGCAGCAGACGCAACCTGAGCCCTCCAAGATGAATAATTTTCCCCGTTTTTTCAACATTTCCAGTGTTAAATGCTGTCTATAGTTTACGCGAGTAGTACACATTTAAATAAAACACTTTAAAACGCGATATATTAGTTAAACTTATTTGAAAATGATTTTTAACTTCGGCCCGACGTTTCGGATGCTTTGCAGCAGCCGTGGTCACGGGGAGACCACGGCTGCTGCAATATCCACTGTTTCTTCTCACCTACCATCACGGAACGTATTTTATAGTCTAAAACCTTCCCCGATAAATGTTCTAACAAGAAGCAATTTTCAAAACGAAATAGTTGTTCCTGAGATTAGCGCGATCAAACAAACAAACACTTCAGCTTTATTATATTAGTATAGATCCGTGACATGTTTGGTTTTCCCTGGACAATCTGTATATATATATAATAATAATACTGTAATATAATAAATGGCTAATAGAAGTGTCCAGATGTTAAAGCCGTAAAGTGTCATCGCGTCCCGGTAGCAGTCTTTGTGCTTTGGTATGGTGCATTCCATCAAGTGAATGTTCTTTAAAAAGCATTTAGGAAGCCCTATAGAGGTTAAACCGCCCGCTACTTGTTCTGGTGCAATAATAATAGAATAATGCTTCACGATCGATGGTAAAAGTGCTCAGACCGCTTCGAGCGACTCTTTATGGCCGCGGAAACTGGGTCGGCAGCGAGCAGCATGTTGATCGCTGGCAATCTACCGGCCACTCGTTGGTACGGTCGTGGCGTGGCATAGATTTGGTGCCCTTTATTCCATTGTATCCGTGCGTACAAGATTCGAATATCGTGGATTTATTGGCACAAATAACAGCTGAACACTGAGACTTAGAAAATCATTTGTGACACATTTGAATAAACCATTTTTACGGTTTAAAACACGAAATGTTAAATTTACTTATTCACTGAACTTGGTGCTGTACAGTATTGAAAACGTCGGGCGCAATTAATATATGTTGTAAGTAGGTTAAGCAATACAATTTGCGTTATAAACCGTTAAAGATGTTTTATCTAAATAATTATTTTTTTCGACACGCTGTGAATATAATATTTTTTTGCATTAAAATATTTCTTTATTACCTACATTACACTTTTGTTTAACTAGCTAATAAATCAAACTATAAAGGTCAATACGTAACTGTGTAAATATCACTTTCAAGCAAACCTTACCTTACCTAAGATAAGGTAGCTTAACTAACTTCTCACTTTCCATTTATCTACAAAATAAGCCTTCTATTATTAACTTTCCTATATGACAGTTTGAGTACCCGCCCCAGGGTCCATCTAAATAATCTAATGTCAAAAATGGCGACCTATTTTAACTTTGGACATTCGGCAATCCACTGATTGACACCGAACGCGGATATAGACTTTGTGACCCGGGTGGAATTTTGAATGTCATGCCGCCCCTTTAAGAATTCACAGTTTCAACTGAGTTAGTAACTTTAAAGATGTGGTTGGTAATAATTCAACTTCTATTAAAAGTGCTTGTAAAACATTGCCTTTTATATCATATCTAACTATGCCCGCGACTTTGTCTGCATGAAATAGTTATTTTGGGAACTGAAACAACTGCCTCAGCTTTATAAACTATACTAGCTGGTGGTGTATTAGTATTTGGAGTAGCTTATATTAGCGTGGCGTAGAAAAGAACTAACAATATGACATAAATATGTGTAACTAACATTTATGCCAGCGCATGCGAAATGTAGGTTTTAGTTACTTGAGATTTAATGTCATATTTTGGACACTACGTAAAACGTAGCCTATGTGGTATTTTGATATATAAGCTCTATTATTGGAAAGTTTTTGCGTAAAAGAGTAACAAACATCCATCCACACATACAAACTTTTACATTTAAATATTAGTAAGAAGGATTTAACCACGACGTCGTTCTCTTTCCATCATTTTTGCTAGTTAATCTAAAGATAGACATATATTAAAGATAGATATATCCCGTTTTAACCACATTTTCCACTGGTTCTTCCCACCTATGGTCGCAGCGAGACTAAAGCCTTACTATCAAGGTTCAACACAAAAATAGTATTTTTTTTTCAATTCGATCCAGTAGGTCCTAAGATTAGTAGGTTAAAACAAACAAAGTCTTTCAGCTTTATAACATTAGTATAGATGTGTGGCATCGCGTACTTGAACCGGAGATGTTCGAGGCGTCTACTCTCCCCGCTCTCTGGGCTGACGATTCGCTCTGATTCACTTAATCATGCTTGTATACGTAACTCTATTTGAAATAATCTAGACAGGACCTATTTTGTTTGCATAACACGATGTACTCTTCCCAACTTTATGCAATATTATCAAAACGTCCAGTCGTAGATAAGATAATTCAAAAACAAAAAAAACCTGTACCTTACGCGAGTAGTACACATTTAAATAAAACACTTATAACGTTTTAAAATGCGAAATGTGTTAGTTATTTATATTAAGTACCGGCCGAGTATACATTTAGCGTCTAAAGCCATAATTTAACCCAAAAACAAGTTGAACGAATATTTCGCCTTTTAAACTGTTAAAAGTGTTCTATTTAAATATTATCAATGTAAATAACGTTGTTTCCAAGTAATAATGTGATTTTTTATTAATGAATTATGATAATAATTGAAAAATGGTTATAGAAATACCGTTTATGTGTAAAACATACCGGAGTTGTTACGCGGACAGGAAAATCGATAAGCATTATTCTATTTTTAAGTGGGCTGTTGAAATTTATAATTTTTTGTCGCCTTCGCTCCGAGAATAATTCATGCACGGTAATCATAAGCTTGAATTCGTATTAAGAGGGTTGTGGTTTAAAAAACGAACTACATTTTCTACGTTTATTCCAATGTTGACGGCCACATTGGCCTAATGCCAGCAACGGGTCGTGGGTTCGCGATTCGGGGATCTTGGGGGGAATGCAGTGTATGTACTTAGGCTCTCTTAGTAATCTTTTTGAAATGTCATTTATGAACAAAGTCCCATTGTCCAAAAGTGTGCTTTAAGCAGACACATATTTCTCAATCGTGTCTTCAACACGTTCGTTTTTAGGCAAATCGATTAGATTTTCGTGCCATATAAATTGTATATTATATAGTTATATTCTTTTCTCCTTATGAAAAGGCCGCTAGAGCCAGAGTAGCCTAACTGTAATTCTATACATTTTCTTATATTTTGAAAGTCTAAAATGTTAATCTACAAGAGCACAGTGATCGAAAATTGTTAACATAATTCTTACACAAATAATACTACAAATCAATTTTCGCCTAAGTTAATTGCGCATTTTTATTTTTCTCCTTATTCAAATTAGTTTTTTTTTTGTTATTGGGCCACTCTGGCTCTAGCAGCCTCGTATAACCCCGTTTTTTAAAACGAAATGCTAAGCTACGTAATCGTTGAGACAACGATAGCTACGATATATTTTGATACTGTGTCGCAGTGTGAAGTTATTATAGGTAATCGTACCGTACAGTACGGATAACTGTACGGTTTCAATGTCACACCCGCGCGCCGCAGTCCGCCGCGGAAAGTGACAGGTGGCGGTTGTCTCGTGGCGCCACGCAACGTGTTTTTGAAATAGTGAACCAGCAATTTAATTCGACTAATATTGTGTGTGTCGTGTAAACCTGTGACGCAGAGCATGGGATTCAAGCCCCATACCCCAGATTGTACTGTGGCGCGGTTGAGTCGTGGCTGTCCACAGCGATGGACGGCTACTTGAACATCATTTTCACCTGGCTCTCGTCGCTTCTCAATAAGTTTTATTTGACGTTAGTATTCTATATCATTTGTAGTTTCCGCGAGTACACATTTAAATAAAACACTTTAATGGTGGTCTGCTGCTAGTAAACTGCTGCAAAGCATCCGACACGTCGGGCCGTAGTTAAAGTAGCTTTCAAACAAGTTTAGCTAATATATTTCGCGTTTTAAACCGTTAAAATATTTTATTTAAATTCGTATTACATTATTAATAAGTAGACCACATAACCTGATGTTAAATACTACCTTATTATAAATTAATTAGTTTTTGTAATGATTTCAAATAAATTTTGTAATAAAGTTACAATTGTAAAAAGTTATGCAAGCGGCTGTAATGTACCTGCCTATCTAAAAATATTCGGCCGATGTTACTTATCGTGTGCCACTTTTGAATTAAACCTTGACTTGGATTGTTTTTCTTCATTCCTAACGAGATAACATGGTATATTAATTGGCTCTGCTATAAAAATTATCTAAACGTAATGGTTCGAATATGTTAACGTGGTTTTCAACATTAATTTTTAATATTTTTTAAAACATAATAAATGGGCTATAAATATCGAAAATCCCTCAAGCTTAGGAACTCCTCGTTTTGGTTTCAGACAACCCAAATAGGGCAACAGCCCATCTTATCTAGATGGTATATTATGCATTTATTAATTGAAGCATTTGTGTGGTCCATGTGTGTGTGGCCTTTGTGGGATCCAGGTGTTGATAATTATTACCTAAATTTAAAATGTAAACTCTGCTACCGTTTCTTACATGATACATGCCCCTCTTGCAATGGAATTTCAACCTTATCACTTACGTATTTACGTTATATTTTGTTTGTTAGAGCGGAATGGAACTCTGCAGATGCCGGTTCGAGTCCCGACAGTGACAAATTTGATCTCAATACATAATATCTCTTAAAAGGGCCTACGAATTTTTGCACTTAGCACAAGTATAATGTGTTTATCTACTTGACGACCTTTAAATAAGTAGTTGCTTAAAAGCGACGTCATGTTAAGGCCTTAATTTTGAAATCTGTTTACAGTAGGTGTAATCCTTGAAAAGTTGCTCTATAACTCTGTATATAAATAAAAATGTTAATTTGTTTTATTTTTATGAGAGCAGGGTAAGGTAAGCATCGGGTTTAGTTTGATGAATAAAATGTGATATTTTTCGCTTCTGACTGACCTAAACACGATATTAAACTACTGGACTTTTCTATTTACGTAAGTAAAAGTTAAGGAATTTCGATGTTAGATGTTATTTGGGCTTTTGCTAAAACCGGGCCGTAGTTGCAACTATTTGTAAATAAGTTTAAAACGGGAAATGCATTAGACATTTCGCGTTTTAAAGCGTTGAAAATGTTTTATTTAAATATGTACTACTTGCGTAAACTACAGACAGACGTGGATTTACATATGTTTAGAGAATTAGACACAAACATGCTATAGCCATATCTACAATACTGTTGACGGTTTAACGGTCCGATGTGATGATTGCTTATAATCAACGGGTCGCAGGTTTGACCCCACCGCACCACATAAAAATGTGTACGCTAAATGCTAAAGTGGTGATAGAAATAGCGAAATTTCGTCGAAGTCACGAACTACCGTCCAAAGATGAAACAGTCGTGAAGTTAAACCGCGTTTTGGCTTAGTCTGAGGATTTCCGAATATCCAAAGCCAAAAAAGGTCGACCGCGCATTTTGTTGAGATATTATTTGTCTAGGTTATTTCGCCTTCCATCAAGTGAATCTCACGCTTGTATGTCCTCCTCTATGACAAAAGAAACTTACGTTTAGATTTCTAGAAACCAAATAATATTCCAATTTATAACTTGTATGGGCGGAATTGAAAATAAATCGTGTCTCCTGTGTACAGATTTGGTTGCGCAAAAATAGACGGAGTGTAAACAAGAAATAGAAACTATGTTTTATTTTCAAATCTGAAATGAGTATTTTCTAGAAAATGCACGAACTTATTTTGCATATCTTACGTGATTTTCACAATTTATAGCACGGAACGCTCGTAGGTTTGAATCCTGGTTGTGGCTAATCATAAAGGGTTCGATCCCCGCCGGGTCCAACATTTTTCTAATTAATGTATAATTTTTCTGAAACATGTTAAACTTCAGGAAATCTAGATAGGGATCGTTCAAGTATTACGTAAGCACTATAGGGGGGTGGGGGGGTCTGTGTTTTGCTTATTTTTGATGACATGGGGGGTAGGGGAGTCCAGATGATGATTACGTCATCGATATTTATTTACTTTTTTACACGAATGGCAACCACCACATTTTTAATTGAAAAATGTTTACGTAAGCACGGGGGGAGGGGGTAAAAACTTTGCTTACTTTTGCTGACAAGGGGGGATGGGGGGGGTAAATAATTGTAATAAATCTGCTTACGTAATACTTGAACGGTCCCATATGAAATAATCGGAATATCGAAATTCCATCTGGGTCACAAACCAACGTCCAGATGAAAAATCCGTGAAGTTTTATCGCGTTTCGGTTGCAGTCTGTGGATTTCCGAATATCCAAAGCCAAAATAGGTCGACTGCGCATCTTGTCTGTCAATCATTTAAAAAAAACGTATCATGCATGTCTTTCATGTAATACAACTAACAGCCCGCCCGGCTTCGCTCGGGTGCAATGATGTTACCAAATACACTACAGAAACTGAGCGTTGTATATAAAAGCCTTCCTCTTGAATCACTCTGTCTATTAAAAAAAAACGCATCAAAATCTGTTGCGTAGTTTTAAAGATTTAAGCGCACATAGGGACAGAAAGCGACTTTGTTTCATACTTCGTGTACTAGTGATAAGTAGATAATGTGCTTATGAAATTAAACCCATTGTCTACGCTACGTTTTTCCTACGCGAGGTCTCGAGGGTCAAATAATAGCGACCTCAATTATTGTTATAGGTACTTGTCGAAAGAGGTCGGAGTCGACTCGATATCTTGAACGTATAATGTGGTCTAGTGTTTGATTCTTTATTATTTAGTTTGTTGTTTTAGTAAGTAAATTACTTACTAACAATTACGTAATACGTTCTTGGATATTGTGGAGCTCTAGCTGTCCCGAGTTCGAATCTTGAGAAAACAACGTAACGCTTCGGTCGGATGAGACACAGAAATTGAACGAATTGCTTTTACCGCGTCTTGTCGTATCGTTAGATAGGTCGGATTATTTTTTGAACAGACAAACAGTACTGCGTAGAATTTTCTTTTAGGAAGTTAATTTCTTTTAATCTAGTTTGTAAAGCACTTGAAGTGATAGCTCGTTATCGTAAATCGTAAATCTTAATTACGTAACGCGTTACGACGCAAGAATGATTCAAATTGTAATATTTTGTGTTGTGATACATAAGAACACACAAGCATGTTCGCTTGATGTTAGATGTAATAGCCCAGCTATATAAAGTGTAGAAGATGCGCTGTCGACCCTTTTTTAGGTTTGGATTCGGGAATTATTTACTCTATGTACTTCTCACATATTATATTTGTATAATGACTTCTGTAATTATTATTTTTTGGCGGTGTTTGGTTATATGTTTAGGGGTGGGAGGGGGATGTGTGTGAATAAATGATTTTGATTTATGGGCTTTAAATATTTACAGGAAGGCCCGTCGCAAAGAGCGCGAAGGCGAAGGCGGAGGCGATCCGAAGCTGTACCTGCAAGAAGCGCTGCTCGAACGGAAACTGCCCGAGCTCGATATGCGCCAACTCGTCGACCTTCCTCACGGTCTTGACTACAACGAGTGGCTGGCATCGCACAGTGAGTACTGCCTTTGTCGAACCACACGGTACACGATATTAGTGTCAATTTCCGTGGCCGTGTCTGTTTCCCACGGAGTCGAATCCAGGGTAACTCGCGGTTAGCGCAACGCTAAGCAACACGTTTATCCATTTAGCTACAGTCAACACATAATAATAGACACATCTACATTTTAAAATCTTCAAATTATAAGTTTCCACCGCCTCACCAAATTAAAGAGTAAAAAAATTATTAACATTATTTATTTGAGACCGAAATATTTAAATAAAACTTACATCGATACGTCAAAAGCACATTCGCCATCGGAAGTTTGCGCAAATTTGTTATTTTTAATATTTATCAAAATGACGAAGGTAAATAAATAAATACATTTAGTTTATTAATATTTTAAACATTAAAAATAATGCGTATTATTTTAACACAAACACTATATGAGTGTATATTTATATACTTTATTATATGTCAACCCTTAATATTGAATGAGCGGTGTCTAAAAACCATTTTTTATTCATCACTGTCTGGTATTCCAGCACTGGCGCTATTCGAGCACGTCAACCTCCTGTACGGTACGGTGTCCGAGTTCTGTACGGCTGCGCGCTGCGGCGACATGACAGGACCCGGGGGGCGCACCTACGCCTGGTACGACGAGCGCGGGAAGAAGTCGCGGGTCGCCGCCCCGCAGTACGTGGACTACGTCATGACGTTTACGCAGAAGACGATTAACGACGAGACCGTGTTTCCTACCAAATATGGTAAGACACTGATGACTTGATTGAAGTAGGAAAATGAATATGCAATTCGATCGAAAATTTGACCGTCTCGCTTTTCTAATGGTAGCAATGGTAATAATCAACGGGTCGTTCGTTCCCAGCCAGAACCGACATGTTTCTAATTTATTAATTTATAATTGTTCTGGACTTCGTCTGGAAATCTGGATATGGGTGGTAGGAATGTCGAAAATTTCAAAAATTCGAAATCACAGATGAAAAAGCCGTTAATCGCGTTTCGGTTTCAGTCTGTGGATTTCCGAATATCCAAAGCCTAATATACTGCTGGGATATATTACCTACCATCAAGAACCCCCTCTATCATTAAAAAAATTCATTGACTAGGTATTAAAATGTATAAATTATATGTCTAATTTTTTAGGATGATAGGATATAACTTCAAGTGCTTATGTTGATATCGAGCAGAAATAGTCTCTAATATAGGACTTCCTTTAAATATATTTATTTTAATTATATTACATTATACATAATTAATGTTTAATTACAACTGATATTTTGTAAATATCTCTAGCGCTAAACCTGTTATGTATATGTAGTTTGCGAGTAACACGCATTTAAATAAAACACTTAACGGTTGATAACGCGTAATATTATTAGTTAACTTATTTACAATTTAATTATCTACGGCCCGTCCGATGCCGCCGTGGTCACGGGTGGCTAAATATGACTTAACTAAATTTCGCATTTTAAACCGTTAAAAATGTCGTATAAACCAGTTCAAAATTGTGTTCTGTGCCTTACTTCAGTTAATTAAATTCTTTTTCATTTTGCTTTATAAGACTAGCTATTGAGTTAAAAAGCGTTTACCGTTCTCCAAACCCATAAAGTGTATTGCCAAGCATTGCTTTACTGATCCTAGATTCGAATCAAATCAAAATCGAACGGTGTATCCCTTAATATTCACGAGATTTTTATCGTATTAAAAAAAAAAACATGTTAGCGATTGGAAAGCTGGATATTAAATGGGTGATATTTTCTGGACTTTGGAGGTTTTCCAAATGCTTGCCAAAAAACTCAAGTGAATCTCACGTCTGTCTGTCCTCCTCTCACGTCTGTCTGTCCTCCTCTATCGTCTCTATCATAAACGAAAATTCTTCCAGCGAATGAGTTTCCCGCGTCGTTCGAGGCGGTGGTGCGGCGCGTGATACGGCTGCTGTTCCGCGTTGTGGCGCACCTCTATGCGGCGCACTTCCGCGAGCTGGCCCTGCTGCGTCTGCACGCGCATCTCCACCTTACCTTTGCGCACCTCACGGCGCTCGACCGCCGCTTCGCGCTGCTCGACCAAAAAGAGACTGAGGTAAGTAAGAGACGGGGTGCGAATTGCAAACATTGTCAGTCTAAGGTAGCAATGTATGTCTGATAAGGGGTCTAGATTTTAAAAAGGTGGTAGGAATATCGGACTTCGGTCCGAGTCACGAACCGACGTCCGCAGATGTAAAGGCTGGGTGAGCTTTTATTGCGTTTTCGGTTCAGTCTTTGCTTTTACAAATATTCGTTTACATGTTACATGACTGGTATTTGAACTTCCGTCAAGTGGACCCCTATGCTTATGTCATTAATAATAATAATAATTTATTTGTCAGACCATAGATCCATACATTATTTTAAAATTTTTATTAAAGACGACATCAAAATATAGATCTTGAGTTGCCTCTCGAGAGAGCCGATATTATTTTGTTATATTACACAAATTACTTTATTATACCTTAAACCTTGAAGGAAAAAAGTGGCATTCATTATTAGTTTTTGTACATTTGTGAATACATACAATAAAAAATATTATAACTTCCTTCACTAAGTAGGAAAGAAAATAACGCATTACACAACAACCATTAACAAAAACAGAAAAGTTAGTTTCCTACATTTAAAAATATCAGACTTCAAACTGTTTTATTAGTTAAATAGATTGATTAATTCACTTGGGAACACCTTGGAAATAACTACTTACCAAGGAAAAAAATAAACATCTAATTGAGAATCTACCTCTTTTGAAGTCCGTTAACACATCTTTGAAAAGTAATCCTCATTAGTCAATAATGACTGATCATATTAACCAGAATCAATTCCTTAAGATTTTCTTCACATGTCAGTATAAACCATAATTATGCTCAAATTGCAGGTCCTCCGTGACTTGGAGGTGGCTCTGCGGCTGACGGAGCCCGCGGGCACCGCGCGGGGTAGCGCAGCACCAGGCGCCGGGGGCGAGAGCGGCGAGGACAGCTCGCCGCGCCGCCGCTCCCCCGTCGTGACGCAGCCGCTCGCCTCCGCGTGACCGCCGTGAGCGCCGCCCTGCGGCAGACACGCATCGTGTGGCGGCCACACGCTGCCGCGCACCCTGGCTCCCACTTCTGATGGCGGGCCAGCGCGGCCCATACCATCCGGTATTCTACTCACAAAATGGCGGATCGCTGTCTCGCCGCTGGCTTTCGTAGAACACCCCTCCTTGCGAATCAGCAGCCCCGTGGCCCCGTCGCTGCACCGTACTTAATTCCGAAACGGCCGCGGAGTGCCGACCGAGTAGTTGACGCGCGTACGTTCCGTTAATCGAAGAATAATAATTAATTGTTAACTCTTGTAAATATTTCAATCTGTTAAGTAGTTTTAGGTGATCATTAGTTTATAAATTTGTGATTGCTTTGGTTGTAAATAAAAGTGATATTTGTTCAACTAATAAACTGAAAGCTTTATTGACGTTTTCTTTTGTTTTAATACTTGGTTTTATTCCAATTCGAATCTATAAGATAGACAATAATTCTCTCTACTGTGTGTAATTATTGGAAACAGCTTTGTATAGACTGGTAATATTTAAAAATAACTATGTTTCGGTAAAACCTTGTAATACCCAGGTCTTACGGCTTCTCTATTAATGAAAACAAAAAAGTAATCCTCAAATCAAAAAACTATATTTCGCTCTTCTTCAGAATCCTAGACGACGCGATCTGCAGTCTAGTAGTCTTATTTAAATAAAGTACATATAACAACTATGGCCCGATATTTCGGACGCTTTGCAGCAGCCATAGTCTCGTTGATATCAACTTCGACATCAGATGGCGCTGTTTTCAATCCACCCAATGACTACGGCTGCTAAAAGCAACCAAAACATGAATCCGTAGTTATAAATTATTCTATTTAGTGTCGTTAATAAAATAAATTATTTCGTTTTAAAAGTTTGTCGTCAAGTTTTTTATTTAAATTTGTACTACTCAGGTAAACTACAAACGATACTTACCAGTCGTAATAATCTCGAGTGTACCAAGACCAATTTTTTGCAAAACTTTTTATACCTACCTTTATATATAGACCCAATCAACATGTAAATAGAAGAAAGAAATTAACAAAATCATATGGTTATTTTATTAAAAATAAATGTTTAATAAATTTACAAAAATATTTTAAGTACAAATTTGAGATTCAAGCGTCAACCTTATTAGAATAAAATCTAGAGCGACTAGGAACTAGCGTGGACGGAATGTTACCCTGTCAATAGTGCGTACTATAGTGATATATAAAAATAAATAGGTACATCTTTTATCCCAGAAAGAACTAATGGGATAAGTTCAACAATATAATTAATGGTAGTACAAGAATTTGGGTTATTGTATCGATTAAGTTTGGCTTTGAATATTATTATTTTGTTCGAATTGACCTTGAAAAACTTAACTACCATATCGGGTATTCCCTTAAAATACAAGTGTTAAGGTAAAACAAGTAGTAGAAAAAAAACGACGATGACGTGTAGGGCTCGGTAGCTCAATTGGTTAGAGCAACGGCACGGAACGCTGTGGATGCCGGTTGAGGTTCCGCCCGTGTCACAGTTTTTTTTTAAATATATAATCGATTTTGAACATTCCCTAGTCGCGTAATAAACAGCTGCCGAACTCCACCACAAACCTCCACAATTCATTCACAATTAAATTATTTACATCCTTACAAAGTTTGGTCCACAAAATAGTATAATGTACATTTTTACAAAAGCTTCTTGTGTTGAGGAAGCGAACTGTTAATTTCTTGTCTTAATTATATTGCTAGAAAGCTAGTCGATGGGGAGAGGGGGGTTAATTGGATCACATTCCTGACTCTGCGATGCCCTCGTCGTCTGTAACAAGAAAGGGGACATTAGTCACTTTATTGTCGGTATATAAGTTGTATTTGATTATTACTTTGTTTATGATAGAGAACCACCAAGCAATCTTTACTTGGTGGAATGTAAAATACCTACATAGCTACATTAGATCAATGAGCCCATGAATTCTTCAGTTTCTATTTAATTCCTATCAAATGTATTATAATAAATAATCTTGATTTTTATATAACACTATTAATGTTTAATATTAGTTTAACTAAACTTTAATTTAACTGCGGCCCGATATCAGGAGCATCCTCCAACTTCAGCCATAGTTAAATTAATTAGTTCACTAATATATGTCGCGTTTTAAACTGTTAAAAGTTTTATAAACGTGTTAACTACAGACAGTCAACCAGTATAGTGTTAGTAAAAACCAGCTATGTGGCATGTGCTTTAAGATGGACTCTTTCGCATAACCGTCGATATTCCGAGTTTATTTTTTTAACAATGTTAATTATGCTCCATCCTAAAACACAAGTACCAACTGATAAGCTACATGCGAAGATTATATATATTTAGTAAATTTCACACTTCAAATAACTTTCCAGTTTTGCCTTATAGTCGATATGAACATTCCAATCTGCTAATTGTTTGAATAAATGGCAAAATGATAATGTAGTTTTTAGCACATCGAAGATAGTTTATTATGAAGATTAATAGTGATTTCATAATGACGTCATAGTTTTCCATAGTTTAAAAAAAGTAAGCTATAGGTAATTTAAAAGAATGAAAAAGATAGTGATGATCATCACACGCGCTTACGTACAACGCGTTCCTCTAACCCGCCGCGATGTCTGCGCGTGAGTACTGCTTATTTACGTCACTGTCTATACGATATATAACCTATTAGTTACATATCAATTGCCTATTTAAATTGTAATAAACACATAAAAACCAGCCTTTAACTTGATATGTGTGTGTGCGAAAAAGGGAAAGAGAATGTGGGAGGGTGTGTGTGTGTGTAAAAAAAAGTGTATCTATATCTTGCGATACTACTAAACCAGTTTGTGCATATAGAAAAGATTAGTTACCTTCAAACGCAGCATTGTGATGGTGGTTGTTGGGCGGCGGGGGCGCCAAGTCGTGACCTTCGAGTGCAGCAACCACGCACTGATGTATACAGATATACTGCTGCTCCGTCTGAACCATCCAGACACGCTCGCGGCGCATCGCATGCACCATGCCAAAGATGTCCAGGTACTCCGCGTGACGCGTCAGTTGCTGTAACGCACGATCGAGCGTGATGAAGGTACCAGAGCGACCTACACCGGCGCTGCAGTGGACGACCACGGGCCGCGAGTCCGGCGGACAGCGGTCGCGGAATGCGCGGACGAAGCGGGCGAGCGTGGTCGGCGGGTCTGGTACACCGAAATCTGGCCACGTGGTGAAGTGGAAGTGTGTGAGGACGCGCTGCTCAGCACCACGGCATACAGCGAGCTCGCTAACCGTCCAGTCGGGGTAGCGGCTCTCGTTTAGCGCTGTCACGGCGATGTCGCCGTAGTATACGGGCCGTGTGTCGTACGGCCAGTAACGGTCGCATTTCTCGCGTCCCTGCGTTAATAAAATGTTATATTATGCGTACTAATTAAAAACTTTATAACATTAAATACTGTATGTAGTTTACGCGAATAGTAAACGTTTAAATAAACCACGTTAACGGTTTGAAACGCGAAATATATTAAGGAAACTTATTTAAACTTTATAAATTTCGTTTAAATTATTTTTAACTACGGGACCCTGGCCAGTTTCGCTAAATAGTAACTACGACTAAGCAGATGGCGGCCTCCATATTAAGCCCCCTCTTTGACCATGGCTGCTGCAAAGCATCCGAAACTTCGGGCCGTAGTAGTAAAAATAATTTGTAAACAAGTTAAACAAATATATGCGTACACATTCATTAATTCTATTACGGGTTAGCTTAAAGCGCGACCCAGTGCCACAAAAATTATTAATTAAGAAATATGCCCATAGCATCTTGGTCCTTCGAGCCAGATTGATCCAAGTTTACAATCACATATTGCAAAATTAACACATTCTTTTCAATATATTTATAAAGAAATAGGTACCTTCCCTTGAGTTCTATTGTTTATTATTAATAAATAAGAAGCGTCTTTTGTAAATCCAAACTAAAATAACCTTTTCGACGCAACGTGTCAGCATAACAATCGCCCTCGACCCAGACTCCCAACACATGCGCCAGAAGTCATCTCGGGTGCAGTGTAGTGGGCCCTGAAACATAGACATAACATTTGTAAGAAATGGAAAAAAACATAAACAACTTTTTCCTTTGTCTTATCGATCATAGTGATTGTGCGAATCAAATTGAATAAGCCAAAAGTGTTTGAAAAGTGTATGTATTATAAATTGAAAAATTTCGACACGGGCAAGACGAACCGGCATCCATACCATTCTGTGCTCTAAGCAACCGAGTCCTACACGTCTTATTTTATTCAATATTGCACATTATGGCACTATATAAATTAATATAAAAAAAAAATCAACATATGCAGAACTTGAACGGGCATCCACAACAGTGACCAACAGTGTTCAAAGACTCACTTGGGTGACAATAAACTCTCGCGGCGAGTTGTCTCCGGGTACGTAGTTGGCGTTTATATAATCGGAGCCTTCTTCATCATCGACTGGCTGCAGCTTGTACCGCGAGTGGTCGTAGGGCAGAATGTTCGTGAACCGGTTTTTAGGTCGGTTGACCGGCAGATCTGCTGCAGAGCACGCCTGCTCCCGTCCCACGTTCTTCAACTCCTCGAACTCCTCACTGAATCTATAAATCAACAGGTTTAATAGGATAATATTTACAGCTTGAAAGGCATCATATATAATTATCCTTTTTCTAAATCTATATAGTGTCTTATTTCTAACTTGTCATATTTTAAATTTATATGTAATCGTTTACACTAAAAACACTGAATTATATAAAAAACGAATGATCTTACTCAAATTAATTTAGCAAAAACCACAATTTCATGCCAAAATTAAAAGTAATTCTAACAATGAATTAATACTGTTTTTCTGAACACACCAAATATGGACGATTTTAAACCATAGATAACTAGTGATAGCCCTTTTATAGAGTGAAGGTGACACAGGAATAAAGAAATGTCGATTATACATGGACCAAACGACCTGAATATCCAAAATCACTTTTAAGACGACCTTCTTTTATATTTTTTTTATGTCATTATTATTTAACTCGATATCGATCGTGCATGAGTGCGATTTCTACCTCCTATTTGAAATCGGTCATATTTGTTTGCAAAAATACACCATAACTAAAAGAAAATCCTGAACAAAATACCTGAAGTCGGAATCGGCGGACATAAGCCTGTAGTGGTCTATGAAGTCAGCAACACGGACTGGTCGAGAGGCAGGCAGGTGGGTACGGGGCGTAGGGCGGGCGGAGAGACGGGATCGACGTCGCCACACCGCTGCACCGATACCACCAGCTATCACCACCGCAGCCAGCACCGCCCCACCAGCAATCCACGCTGTGTTATCCGCCTCTGCACACGTGTGTCATTTTGAAATCTCGTGTCACAGATAAACTTAATCTAGATATAAATGCTTCGCGACATCGGGCCGTAGTGAAAATAAATAAAAAATAATAAATTTGATGTTTTAAACTGTTATAAATGGAAATCAATAAAACTGTCATAATACTGAAAGTACTGACTGAAGCAACTTTGACTGTTACAAAACTTAAACATTACCCATTTCGTTTACAATACTTGAAGCAAACTAACACTTCCAATCTTGAAAGAACATTTCTCACATACTTTATAAAACTATTGATATTGAAATAAGTGATTCACAAGGTCGCAGAGATTAGGGCACAGTCAATCAGAACCTTATCAACAACAGCGATAACAGATATTAATAATTAAAAGTATCTATTTAGTATAGTCTATGGATTTTGTAATGCTCAAAGCGAAAATGGTAAACATCTTTATTTTACGCGGTTTAAACAAATTCATATAAAACAGTTTTAAGGGCTTAAAACGCAAAGGGAATTAGTTAAAATTTACACATTATTTTAACTACGGCCCGACGTCGCCCCGTGATCACGGACTCTGCAAAATATACTGAACGTCGGACTTTGGTTAAATAAATTGTGCATAAGTTAAGCTAATACATTTCGTGTTTTAAACCGTTAAAAGTTTTTTATCTAAATGTAATTTGAAGTGTTTCACTCGCCATAAATTGAAGCCCTCGTCTGTCCCTCATTAATAATAGTATTGAATTACCCGTGTAGATGGTGGTGTAGGCAGTGTCAGTAAATTTATCGGGAGCTGTGAATGCGCGAAGCTTGACGAAGTATTTCGTGTTCGGCTTCAGGGGTCCGTTGCAGTAGGCTCGACCGCCACCCTCGCAACGCTCGGACCCAATAGTAAATTCTTCTACAGCGCTCGAGTGAAACGGGTAGTAGGGCTCTGTTACCTGTAAAAACAAAGTAATGTCCAGTCCATCTACCATAAATATACGATGTAGGATAAACATCATGATCCCTAGTAATTTTGTTCTTTAGTACGACATTTAGAAATTGGTAACTTCAAAATGGTTCCTCATGTAGTCATGTAATGTCATGATAAAATGCCAAAAATTATTTATAGGTTAATATATAAAAAAAATCTTAGGTTTTACAGATGTTCGTCCGTTTTGAATTCTCTATTACAAAAACTGAACAAGATCAAAGCCATTTAATCATTTAGCCAAAATATACATTTTGAATTATTGTTCTTAAATTACCTGGTACGGCGGCCAGAGCGGCAAGCGATGCACATCGCGCCAGGACGGCAGACGCGCTGGCGTGTCGTTGCGCGGTTCTTCAGCGAGGACAAGAGTGTACGCTGTCACGTTGCCATTCGCCGGCGAGAAATAATCGGCGCGGAAGCGCACAACCACTGTGGACGAGGTACGGCGCACAGCCGAAGGTAATGCGTGCGCGCGTGGCCGTGGTGGAGCCGCTATAGCCATGTGCTGTCGCCAGCGCGCTGCTGCACCGCGACCAGCATTCGTTTCCCCACGTAGCTCGAACTCATATGTTATGCCAGCACGCAGACCACGCACTACACCTGAACTGGCGTCAGGTGGAAAGGTCACAGTTCGAGAGAAGTCTGTGGCACCCTGGGGCCAATACTCCAGGATGAAGCGGAGAAGTTCACCATGGCGGGAAGCAGCCGGCAGATCCCATTGGAACGTGAGCTCTGTTGGTTTAGCGTCAGTGGGGTGGAAGGATGACGGTATGGCTGGCGGGGCTGGAAGGGTCCTGAACGCGGCTGAGAGAGCGCGCGATCTAGTGAGGATCGTGGCCGGCGTCCCTGATAGTACCTCGACGGTGAAGGTGTATGATGTGTACGGGGCTAGGGGGGCCAGGGTGAGGGTCGTGCGCGAAGTAGACCTACTCTCGAGCTGGTCGGCGCTGGCCAAGTACTGCACCTCGAATGAACTCCAGTCTCCGGCCGGTCGATCCCAGGTCAAGGTGATCTCGCGCGCACCGATTTCGGTAGCGTTCAGCTGTGATATCGGCCGTGGAACTGCACGACATTAGTGGGTTAAAAAAACTCTGTCTTCGCATTTGATTGCTTTTGAATAGTTTACTAGTAGTAAACATTTTAACAAATCATTTTTAACGGTTTATAACGCGAAAAGTTAACCTAATTTTAAATACTACCCGACGTTTCGGATTAAAAAATAAGTTGACTAATGTATTTCACGTTTTAAACCGTTAAAAGCGATTGTCTAAACTCTAATATGTAGACAATCAACGTTTGTTATAAAAACATACTTTGTGTATCGTTAAGAATCCAAAGATAGGAGAACCGAATAAAACCGTATGTAAATTATTATTATTTAAGCCACCCGCGTATATGTATACGTAGTTTTTTAATCTCATTGTAAATGCAAAAAAAGCTTATCAGAAATAAAGTCTTCTATAAACCTAAAAAAAACCCTTCAAGATTCGAACCTTTAGGAACCACATAAAGAAAAGTTAAGAAAGCAGATTATATTACTACAAACCTGTGCTAAATATATGTACAACAGATATTAAGAAGCTATTTCAGTACCTTTTTTGTAATCAATAAAAAGTATCGACCAACCCATTATTTTGTAGTTCATGCGAGGTTAGAAAGTGCATTGAACGCATGTAGATAGGCCAAATTATTCTCTACTTCCATTTGTTACGTACACAGCTCTGTGGAATAATAAATAAAGTGTATTTTGATGGAACTATGAAGTTCCAATTGTTAAGTTTACATAGTACTTTATCAAGTTATGTTAAGTTATGGTGTGACAGTATAGATGTTAAATCATTATTTATAAGGTTTCAATTAATTTAAATAAACCCCTTTAACGGTTTAATACACGAAATATACTAGTTATTTTAACTACGACCAGACGGCTGCTGCAAAGCATACAAATGTAGTGCAGGAGTTAAAAATAAGTTAACTAATACTCGTGTTTTAAACCGTTGAAACTTGTTATGTGTAACGGTAGTATTAGTCTATGTACAAATGCTGTCTATAATTTTCGCGAGTAACAGAGACAATGCTGAAGTTACAATACATTAAAAAAATCCAAAATTTCCTTTGTTTTTTTAATTTAAAACTGCTTTTATTATCTATGGTCATTATTTATATTATATAATACCGAAAATTCTTTATAACTTGCCTGTATGTACATCTCATATGTAAAATAAAAATTGAAACAAGTATAAATACCTGTTGTAAGTTACACAGACTATATACGATCAGTAATGTTAGTAAGCACGGCAATCACCCAATGTAAATAAAGACATTTGTTATAAAAGACCCAGAGACAAGAAAGAAGCAACCATAAACATCACACTGTAATTGTGGAAAGAGTCTATTAAAATATGATTTTTAATTGAAAAAACGGACACATATCTATTACGGACACATATCTGTGTCCGTAATAATGCACTAAATCAAAAATTTCTAAGTAGAAAGACTTTAATCTCCGCTTTTTCAATATAACTCTGCTTTTTCTTTCTCCTCTTCTGAAGGTCGACATTTATGGTTGTCAATCAAAGACAAAAGGCTAAGAACTACTTTATTCAGCTGAATCCAGATCAATTAGTCCACACCACCACCACAACCACATTAGTGCTAAGTGAAAGAAGTAACCACAGAGAATCGTTTGTACGCACAGAGCCGCGCCTGGCGTTGCACGGGGTGTGATGATACGTTGTGGGAGAGTGTCCACATGGTGATATTGTAGAGACGCCCCGGCGTAAGCCCTCGGAAGGAAACCTGTCTTGGCGCTGCATCAGCTGCGCGTCTTTCCTCACGCGCCTCTTCGCCCAGTGCTTCTAGCCGCACCCGGTACGCATCAAAGCGTGCTGCTGTTTCTGGCGTGCGAGTGTAGATCACCTGCAAGACATTATTTTTTTAATGATAGTGGAGCGCAGCGTGGGTTTTACTTAATGGTAGGTGAAATACCCCCAGGTAATAGCATCGAAACAAGATGCGCTGACCTATTTTGGGTTTGGATAATCGGAAATCCACAGACTACTAGACGGCTTTTTATCTGTGAACGGTAAGTAGTGACTCGGACGGAATTCCCGGAAGAATATCGATCACCCATGTATTATGCAGATTTCCAAACGAATCACAACATGTTTCAGAAAAAGCATAATTTTATTTAAAAAATGTTTGATCCGCTGGGGATCGAACCCACGACCCGTTGATTATTAGCCGTACATCGCTATAAGATGTTGTTCTCATCGTTAGGTTAAACTTTGGTCCTTCGAGCCGGATTGTACGTCGCATACTGTACACGGTATTATGACGAATTAAATCGTATATCATAATGTTATTGGTTTGCTCACCAAAAATGCAGGCATTGTATCATTATCCTCGCTCTCTTCGCCTCCATTTTGCGTGACGATAGTCATTTCAGACTGAATTAGTGGTCCTAGGAAGAGAAAAGCATGATGTTTATGGTGATATAAGAAGGGAAGAAGTATATATATTTTTTAAATAAGAATCTTTTCACAATTTACCGTATGTAATGTACTTACGTGTTCGCGTGTGCATAGTAAATAGGTCGCTAGAGAGATTATAGGAGTGCGAAGTGATCGCCACGGTATACCCCCAACCGGGTTCAAGGCCCGATAATAAAACCCTCGCGCTGCGTCCTTCTCCCGCGCTTACGTTACGCGCCCCTCCACCCTCCGCTGCGCCCGCCTCACCCCCGTTACCGCTCTCGTCTTCACTAGGCCACCACGTCACTCGGTACCAGTCAACTCTACCCTCAGGCCGTGGCCATTCCAGGGTCATGTTACGAGTGTCAGCTAATTGAGCCACATTTGATACGGGGTTTGGTCCTGAAAGGAAAACACACATACAATTTTAGTAAGACGTTAAAACTTTATATAACAAACACACAACATAAAATCGAGATTTTTCACAAGGTTTATATTTTTTTACATTAAGAAAAACTTTGACTTCACTTAGTATAAACCACAATTTTATGCTAAAGTAATAAAAATTTTCAAATAAGTTAACTAATATATATCGCGTTTAAAGCCGTTAAAGTGTTTTATTTAAATGTGTAATACTCGCGTAAACTACAGCGTTAGAAACGTCGAGTTAAATAATAACATACAAGATTTTAAAAAAGGTTATTTTTTATTACTGCATCTGTTAGCTCTGCGATGGCTTCTACATGGGCTTCGTTCTGGACGTAGCAATGCCACGAATCTAGTTAGTTTGAGGACGTCCTTGATACCCATTGTGAATACGGGGGGGCAGATAGATGTCGTCTACTTTGATATAAAAAAAGCATTTGATAGTGTCGATAATGACGTGCTTTTGTCGAAACTGGCGGAAGTAGGATACACTGAAAAGCTTCTAAGGTTCTGGGCATCGTATATGGGAGGACGACAGCAATATGTAGAGTACAATGGTCGTGAATCCGATCCTTTTATCACTAAGTCTGGTGTAAGCCAGGGAAGTAATTTAGGACCCCTCGAATTTGGCATTATGGTTAACGATTTGCCACAGTCTGTTGCAAGTAGTCGCTGTCTTTTATATGCGGACGACCTAAAGTTGTTCCTTCTCAAGTCGATAGGATTCTAGAGTGGTGTCGATATAACAAGCTGAGCTTCAACATAGCAAAATGCGTAGTACTCAGTTTTAGTACGGCACGTAATCCTATAATATACAACTACAAGATCGGAGAGGAAAGGATAAAACGCGTGAGTGCGGGATTTGGGGGTGAGCTTTACCTCCAACTTATCGTTCACGAAAAACATAGTTCAAGTCTGCCAGCGCTCATTTCAAAGCCTAAGCTTTGTTCATCGCCAAACGCAAGACTTCACTAACTTAACGGTAGTGAAGGTTTTGTACAACTCACTGGTTCGTATCCTACTCTGTTTGTTATGGGCAACGAGCTAAGGGTAAGAAGGGCATCTCCCTTCTTACCCTTACCTCGTCATGTACTTGATAAAACTATTAAGAGGATTAGAGAGTAATTCAGTCGTCCTAGGTGATCTGGCACTATACGTTCCAGATAATTACGTCTGGAAACGCCATCAGCCTCCGCTACTTCGCGCCCCAGCCGCAAGGACTGCCGAAGCACCGCTAACTCGTGCAATGCTTGTAGTTAGTCGCCTGCATCGAGTCCACGATGTTATGCACAGTCCGTTCAGTGAGTTGGCAAGATACGTAGCTAACTTTATTAGCACATAAGTGTTAAAGCGGCATCCCTGTCAGGGCTTCATATATTTTTGTTCAATAAATAAATAAATTCTTGTAGTCCTGTATATTTTTTTGGGTAGTAATATAAACGGACTGATACTCACGAACTGTGTGAATAGCGAGCCGCGGATCGCCGCTGTCAACAGCTTCCCCGCGCGCTGTTTTGCTGAGTGTGTCGAGCGCAATTGTGTAGCGTTCGCCGTGTGTCATATTAGCAATCTCAGCGTGCGCAGCGTCTGGAGGCAGCGGTGGCAATCTGCGCCACGGCGCTGAACCAGGGCGGTACCGCAGCGAATATGCACCCAAAGCGCCACCAGGTGGCCCCAGCCATCTCACCACCACCGCATTGGAGGTAGCACGCTCCACGGATACCCACTGTGCGGGTAGTGGTCGTACAGCCTGTACTACCACTAGCCATTCACTCCTCAGTTCCAGTCGTGCAGCTGCTACTTGAACCTCGTAAACGGCACCGGGCTCTAATCCTTCTAGGGTCGCCGTTGTTTCCGTTGTCTTTAGCTATAAAAGTTTTGACATATACATGCATTTCGATGATCATGACATGATGATGATCTATGAGTTCCTGTCAAGTCGGTTTATGCACTATATTAATATAGTACACACTTAAATTTTACCTGTCATCTTAGTTATACTTCATTTTCAAAATATAACCAAAAAAGTAGATTTAGTAATAATTTCTTATACGCACCGTTTTAAAAGGCTCTTGTTCTGGCGCGTCAACGTCCTGTCGTCTGTAGCGTAGGTCGTAGTGGTCTTGCTTCGAGTTGACGTCGGAGCTCCAGTCGAGACGCAGTGAGGTCCGCGAGGGGACCGCGGCGCGTAGGACTGGTGCCAAGGGGCGAGTTGCTACGCTCACTGCGCTCTCATTCGACTGCACCCCGCGTGATACAGCCACCACCTGTTCAGAAAATTGGTATTGAATCGAAAATGGTTCATATGAAAAGCGTTGGATAGCTTTTGTGGACACACTTTATTTCCTTCACAACTTCACTAAATCGTAATAACGTCATAAGTAACGCCATCTGGCGTACACTTACAAACTAAACAAAACAACAGCGTCTAATTTAGTGGGACCTGAATAAATAAAAATACGGAGGCGTCTGTAAAAATGCTGACCTTTTCACATAAGTTTTGATAGATATATAAAAAATTAAGTAAATTAGTGATGAATTCAGAGTTAAGTTGCGACCGAAGACACTTCTTATGACTATAATATATCTTGATAGCATAAGTTGTTGGTATGAAAAGCCAAAAGCAAGCAATTTGTTAATTTCAAAATAATTATACTATGTACTTGTTTCTATAGGCAACGTCTACGTGAAATGTTGAGTTCGTTCATCGTTACATGTTTAGTCCTTTGACGATAGAACCAGGCTTTTCTGGGTGATGACATAAAATGTCAAGTCAAGTTTTGGTCAAACGATATACATACAATAAACGGCTAAATAAAAAACGAGCAATTTTTTTGCAACCAGTATGCGGGAAAGAAATGGAGAAGAAACTTCCTCGACCAAGACCTCCACCTCGACCAGCTTACCGTGACAGTATAATTGCGGCCAGGCAGCAGAGCTTCGAGGGTCACGTTGTTATTTGACGTGCTGATCGCGCTGCTGTCGTCGCGTGACTCACCAGCTTCGTGATACGACACCTGCAAACGGTATACCACAATTATGTTATCCAGTCGTATACTATATAGGAAACAATAGAAAGGCTCGGTTTAGTGGTTCAGGCTTTAAATGAAGATCAGAAATGTATCAAAAACATCGTATATGTTAATCAACAAAAAAAAACCGACGATAAAGTCAAACGGTATCTCAATTAGTTAGACCAACAGCACATAAGGTTGTGGATGCCTTCTAGTCCCGTCCATGTTGACAATTTTTTCAATATAAATAAATGGTTACATTAAAAATGAGTACTTTATGTTTTAAAAGCTCTAGAAAAATGGTGCACTTTTGCCTGAAATGGTTTAAGACTGACCTAATTTCAAAAAATAATGACTTGAGGACTTACTTTAAACTCGTCTTGCGTGCTATTCGAGGCGGGGCTCCACCAGACGAGCACGCCTTCTCCCGCCACGCCCCCTGCTGAGTTCACTTCACTCGGTTCTGCATAGCGCCATCCCACTTGTGTCACAGGCAGCGGTTCTATGGATTATACATATAAAGTTAGTTTAGTTTACAAAAAAGATTCTATGAGTTACTTTGTTTTAAGGTATCGTAGAATAAGACTCTCTTTGAGTCAATGCTCCAAAGGTGGGTAAGACAAGTTTGTTTGTTCGATCACGCTAATCTTAAGAAACTACCGGTTTGAATTGAAGTGTTGATTACAGCAGTTATCGCGGAAGTCCTAAGGCATACATTAGGCCGCGACCAATAGGAGCGAAGAAACAGTGGGAAACTAGGGAAAAAACGGGGAATTGTTTTTTGTATGTTTCCGTTGCGTGGGTTGCGAAAACACTTCAAGAAAGAAAAAATAAGTATGAGAGCATGATTATGCTTTAAATGATATTAAAAAAATATCCGTGATGTCTAAATTTTAAAATTAACTTGCAAGAACCACGGGATCGACCGACGTCGTGGCTAACAGCTATAATTTATAAAATTGAGGAGGTTTACACAAAATATTTGATGTTCAAAAAAACATAACTATTCGATGCAATCGCTGGCACAGCTAGTAAAAAAGTAAGTAAACTATAAATAAATATATATATGTAAAATTTGAACGTAATATTTTGGACAGCCACAAGAAGAAAAACACTTTTCAAATACTCACTGAGAGTTAGTTCTGTAGCAGCAGGCCAGGAGGTAACTTTTCCGGACATCGTCTTCACAGTGACTGCATAGTGAGCCCCCGGTTCTAGACCATCGAAGGAACAAAGTGGTGGATCGTCCCGGCCCCGAACCGCCGGTGGGAGCCTTCGGGCAGTCGCTCCGGCACCTCCACCAGCGCTTGACACCGATATTTGGTACTTCTGGAATTCACTGGAATCATATTTATGAAATATTATTTATCTGCCGTTAGTATTAAAAAATATGCATATAACATACATTACAAGTTAAATAGTAATATTTTTAGTAAATAAACAACTGTAGATTAAGATTATGAAACAGATTATAAATTCATGAATTTTTATAACAAAATAGGACAGATAAGCGTGTAGTTCGATTGATGGAAGGTGAAATACTATTAATATTTTGACCTTGGTCATTCGAAAATCCACAGACTGAATCCAATTGAACTTGACGTCTTTTCATCAGTGGACAGTGGTTCGTGACCCGGTTTAATAAACAGATATATAGTCCAACATGTGTTAGATAAACAATAAATTGATAAGAAATTGGGATCGTTGGGGATCTAACCCACGACCCTTAGCTCAATTAGCCCTACATTGCTACCATTGGACCAACGACCCCATCACCATATAGACCTACCTATTCTCCGCAGGTGGCAACCAAGTGACGGTGAACGAAGTTTCGCTCAGTAAACTCGAGTCTACACTGACGTTCCGCGGTCGCAGTGGGACAGTACGGTACTGTGCGGTAGTGGGCGGGGATAGCTGTGCGTCGGATACAGTCTGCACGGAGATGTTGTACGCTCGGCCCGGGACCAGACCCTTGAACGCCGCCTGCGCAGGTCCCGGCGGTTCACCTTCCTTCTCCACATATAGTTCGGAGTCCCGCGCATCTCTTGGTTCTATGGATACCTAAACCACATTTAAATAAGAATTAAATAAATAAATCAATAATCCGTTTATTATTAACTACCACCGTTACCTACAATTGGCCAAAGAGCCCGTGAACAGTGTTATGGGTGTGGCTATAACGCGTTCTAATTTTCTAAGCATATGCAATACAAGTACTCTCTGTGTTTACGCAATTACTACACATTTTAATAAAACACTTTTAACTGTTTAAAATGCGAAATGTATTAACCTTTTTTAACATTTTCTAATGTTTTGGAGCAACCGCGATTAGGGTTACGCTCTGGATGTTATTACCACCAATGTAATAGGTATCCAGATTTACAGTCGAACATATTTTAGATAAATTATACAATTTAAAACACATTTGAACCGGTGGGGTTCGAACTCACGGCCCCTTGATTATTAGCAATACATTTCTATTATTAGACCAACAAGCCCTTGACAAAACAGTTGTAACAATTTTGACATTAAGCAATTACTTAGGCGATTGTATTCTTGCAAATCTGACTGTAATCAATAATGGTGGTAAAAACCACGTTTTCACACTATCCTTGCGGCCTTTCATCCAATAAGTCGCAGCACGGTTATGTAACAACACTGATTTTCAGCAAAACCCTACTACCTGCTAAAATTGGTTTTTAAATACTTCAGATAACATAAATAAATAAAATAAGAGATTATAAATAGATTATTAAAACATGACAATGATTTTTCATCATAAACAGTTAGTTAATCAGGGGTTTCTCCGGGATTCGAACCTAGAATCTCTCGCGCTTAACGCAATACTAGGCAACACGTTTAACCATTAGGCTACAGAGACGGTCAACTTATATTAAAGCCAAATAAATACGAATTAAATTTACTTCTCACCTTATAATGTGTATAGGCCCCGGGTGGGTAAGGCGGCTGCCAAAGCACCAGCAGAGTGGTCTCGTTTCGGAACCAGACGATAAATTTCCCAGGTGTATTTGGCTCTGGAGGAACAAAATGTAACATATGAGGTTATAACTAAGAAAAGAATTGTTCAAAATGTCGCGTTCATCCAGTTCTTCAAGCTTAGACCCAAAGCCAAAAGACCAACGAACGCATGACAAACTCGTTTGTTTAAAAAAAAGGTTCTGTCGCACCTATTTTCACTCAAGAAAAAATCCCAAGTTCGTGGGATTTTTTCTGGTTTTCAAATCTTTATAATATAAATCAAACTCGTAAATTAACTTTATGTCCTTGAACGTACTTTAATGTGTAATATCTCGTCGATATAACGGTGAGGTAGTTTAGTCATGCGCAAGCGCAGGTTAGGAGCTGAGAATGTTCTTCGTAATTAACGTTGTGAAAGGGAAGGTCACACTTTATAATACCGCTGGTATCAATCGGTTTCGATATTCCAATAGCGCGGCTTATAGCGAACCGATATAAGTAATATCGGTTGTTCTGTCCTCTTAAGAATTAAGATAATAATCATATTTTTTAAAAGTACCATTTCAATATTTTAATGCTAAACGTTTGTTGTTTGTTGAAATGTGCTTATCTCCGAAACTGCTGGTTCGAATAGAAAAAAAATTGTGTTGGATGGACCATTTACCGAGGCTTTAGGCAATTACGTTGCAAGCAATAAGGGCAAACATGTGGAAAAGGGGGTGAAAATAACATCTTTGAGGGCTTCCGTTGCATGTACTAACGGATGATTATTCAATTTAATGATCTTAAAAATGTCCGCGATAGTATCTTATAATTATTAAATCGCAAAATCCGATTGTGGTGGTAATCAAATATGGCCGAAATTAATGCAAATAAATTAAATATTAATTTTGCAAACGACAAAACAACACTTGCCTGATCAGCTGGTTTAAGGTAACAGGTTAGTTTAGCACATTAAAATTTATGACGCACACGAAACTTCAACCAACGACCACAGGAACGTTGCTTTACCAATTGATCTACGGAGTCAATCTAATTTAATTGTCAATATAATATTAGATCGACCGAATATTTTAAGCCAAAATAGGTCGACAGAGATCTTATATGGCTGGAGTCACCTACCATCACGTAAACCCCGTATTGTCTGTCCTATCCTAATCTATCATAAAACATATACCGATAGACAGCAATGTCAAACTAGAAACCTAATCAAGGACCAATAAATCTTGTCGCAAAAAACAAGAGGAAAAATATTAATGTATCTTCCGACACTCGATAAACAGGTCAGCAAAATTCCCAAATAAACTCGTGATGTATTGTGTACAGAAGTAATATATCTTCGTTTCCGATAAATCAGTGTCAAAGGTTAAGGAAGAACGATTATAGTATAGAATTAAAACATGCGATAAAAAAAATGTAAGTACAAATCAGATTGTAAAAAATTATGACACGAGCGAGACCTGATCCGGCATCAGCACATCGATCTTTGCTGCTCTAACCGATTGAGCTACCGTGTCTCGCTCTTCATCATCGAATTTCTTCAATCTATCTATACATATATATAAAGCTGAAGAGTTTGTTTGTTTGTACGCGCTATTCTCAGAAACTACTGGTTCGAATTAATATTTTTTTTAATATGTATTTATCGAGCGAGACAATACAACATTGCGATGCGACGTATAGTAAGAAACAGCGGGAAACGTAAAAAACCAGGCCGCGAAAACGGTTGAAGATACCCAACAAATATGTAAAAAAAATGATTCCTCCTAAAATGATCTAAAAAATGTCCGCGAGACTATATGTTTATCTTTTAAGATTAACTGGCAAAAACGACGGGACGCGACCGACGTTGTGGGTAACAGGGTAAATAATGAAGATGATTTGGTATGTAAAATCAAATTTGGATGCCCAAAATAACTATTCCATGCCGACGAAGTCGCTGACACAGCTAGTAGTATATAAAGCTATTATGTGCAGTAACAATAATCAGAAAATTATAAAGTTTTCAGTCTATCTATGAAGTCTATACTTACAGTTTTGGTTTTATCCGGCTGCCGAAGTAAAAAGAAAGATTTTTATTATAGGAATGTAATTTAAAAGGCTAAGTGCGAGTCTGACATTCAGTCTTATATTACAAAATATGTTGTACCACTGACATCATACATACTTCTTTTTAGTTATTTTAAGTTACCATATCATTACATTGAGCGTAAACTTCACTCAAATAAATAATTTAGTATATTTTTAGTTTGTGCTATACTGACAATAGACATACAAAATTTCAAATATCTAGCTATCGCGGTCCTTAACATACATAGTGATAGATAGTGAACTTTAATATGGTCACTTTGTTAAAAACACTTTTAACGGTTTTTAAATGCAAAATAAGTTAGTTAACTTATTTTTTATTTGTAACCGTAGCAGTTTTTTACTTAAGGAACACTGTTCCTCGACCTCTTCAGTGAACCGGACACAAAAGTACGTCCCTCCGTAATCCGAAGGGGTGGGGAATCAAATTACTTTACCTAATAGTATTAGGAACAGTGCCTAATTGCACTGTACTGACCTTCCGCTGTGTGAAAAAGGCGAAGGTTGTATAGTACGACCGAACATCCGCGCCCATTGTCAGTGTCATACAGTATCCGCTTCGCTTTGTTATATTCTTAATAACGTGATTCGGTATAAAGTTATATAGCTAAGCTTATTATACAACTCTTACAGTTATGTCATATCTATTTTTACGAAAAAGACGGTTTGGAAGAAAGTAGGAGTTATTCAAATGGTATATGCTTTTTACATATGGACATAACTTCGTTATTTATAAACCGATTTTGATCTTATTTTGTTATAATATTAATGTAAGGAATTTAAATAAAGGACTTAAAGGGTTTAAAACGCAATGTATATTAGTTCAACTTATTTAAAAATTAATTTAACTACGGCCCGACGTTTCAGATGCTTCCCAGCGACCGTGGTCACGGGGAGTCTCCCCGTAAGTGCTTTATTTAAATGTGTACTCGAGTAAACTATAGCTTTATGTAAGGAATTCAAGATGTAAAACACACAACAGATGGATAATACATATTACAGAAGTCAAGGGTAACTTTTAGAAATCATAGTGACGTTTAAATTGTCCTTACTATTTTTAAATGTTTTGTATGTTTTTATCTGTTTATACCAACAACGGACTAGCTGAGATCAATTACTGATTATATTTTTTGTGGTAAGTATGTGAAATCATTTTATTGCGCAGAAAAAAAGCTTTTTTTTTATTTGATATATAAATGATCAAGCAAGGTATTTCGCGAAGATTCTCCTATCAATGAATAACATTTAAATTTAACAGTTGTTATTGTGTCTTGTACTGGTGTCCGCGTGTTCAATATAAATAGGTGATTAGTAATCGCGGACCGGTTTATTTAATTAGCTGCAGCACATTTGCTGCTCGCTGTCTTTGCGTCATTTCACTGTGAACTTCTTTCAGTGAGAAAATTGCGTGGTTTTAAAAACCGGCCAGGTGCGAGTCGCATTTTGAAGAAGTCTTTCGAACTATTGACTCAATAAATGCAAACACCACAACAAATTTGATTTTTTATTCAAATTATATAATTTAAGCAAGTCGTAAAATTATGTAAATATATGTATGTATGCTACCTGTTCCTTATAAATTTCGAGCAAAAATATGCAATATACAGCTTGCCGACAGACTAATCACATTTTTTTAACCAAAGATGACCATATTTGCAAAATTTAATCACAACAGGTCCAGCAATTTTGTATGTTGTGGCCTCGTGTATAATAATTACGATTAAATTTCAACTTTTTGCATGTCGTGTCTGCATATTTATAAGCTTAATTTTTAAGAATTTTTTCTTTGTATTCAAGACCTTTAAAATTAAAAAACTACTAGCAATTGTGGTTTTGAGATAGTGCCAGTGGTACAGCAATGCAAAAGAATAGCTAAGTTTGAGTAATAAGGTCTCGCTTTTATCATTTAGGTATGGAACCCTAAAAAAAACAAGACGAGGATATGTGTACTTGAAATTATTCGTCGTTTTATGCTGCGTTTAAGCTAAAATAATATTAAATCCTTTTTTAACATTATACCTTTATTGCTCACTCTAACTATGCTTCTATTCTGAAATTGTATATAATAATGGAAATAAAAAGTAAAACATAAACTTACTGGTTGTAAAGTTAAAAGAAGCATAAGCGGCGCTTTCCTTGTCGTGCAGCAGCGTGAAGGCATGTAATTGATAGGTGGCTCCGGGGGAAAGGTCTCGGAGCACATGAGTCCAGTTGCCACCACCCTCTACTGTGATGTTCCGTGTTCCACCCTCAGCGCGTTCCGTTAGAGGGATGACCTACAAAACATACAATCTTAATATTGTCAAAAACCCTCAAATGAGCAGTTTATTTATTATATATTATAATATATATATATATATTAGCAGGACAGGTGTTTTCTTGAACAGATTTTGATTTACCACCAATAATAATACCACCAAATATCCAGATTATCTCAAAGTCTAACATGTTTAAAAAAAGAGCTCCTTACTGTTACTTTAAGAATAATACTAGTACCTTAAACCTAAATGCAGTATAATCCCCATGGGCTGGTGGAGACCAAGATATAGCCGCTTGCTTGTTGCGGCCAAGGGTAACCGTCAGATTTGTAGGTGGTTCCGGTGCTGCACATAACAATTAAAATGTAATGTATTCAAATTCATAAACATCTGAATATTACATAATATGAAAGATTCACACAATCATCTTCTTATCATTACGTTTATATAAAAAATTACATCTATACTTAAATTAATTCATATACAAGATAAATTACATCGTTACTCTTTCACTCCAAAACTACTGAACGGATTTGAATGAAACATGGTACACAAATGTTCTAGAATCTAGACCCTGAGAAAGGCGTTTTATTGTGAAAAGGGGATGGTAAGGGGTTAAAAGGGTGGGTGAAAGTTTGTATGGAAATTCGTGGTTTGTAAAGCTAGAACGTGACACTTTCTTCTTAGGCTTTTTGGGAATAGAAGTGGGAGTGAGAATGAGACTGTTGCGGCAAAGTAGCACTTACAACATAGCTTGGCTGTGATTAATGCGCAATTACATAAATTAATAAACAGCCTAAATAATAAAAAAGTCACCCCAAGTCACTTTTCCACGCGAACAAAGTCGCGGGCACAGCTAGTACTAAATATGTTCATATATTCCTTTATTTACGTTTTCCTTAAGAGTTTCTTGATAACCAGGGCAAATGGAATCTTGGGTTTTACCATTTGCGACAACATAAAATATAAACATACGTTTTTAAAATCCGCAGGCATTGGCTTATTAAGTGGAAAATGTTCAGTAAAATTAAAATATGTTTCATGCTATTTTAGTCACAGTCAGGCTACATGATGTCATTCCTACATTTATATTAAACACTTGATGTTTTGACAAAATATGTATAATTGTGGCTAAAGATATAAGAGGAAAACTGAACCATGAATAATGTATTCCAAATTGATATGGTTGTCAAAATTACACTTCTAGTAACATGCATACATTGTTTAACAACTTGAGAGAACTTTTTGGGTAGCGCAAAGAAAATTGATAATAATTATAACTAACTATAAGAATAATATTCACAAAACTTTTGTGTTTGTGACATAAATTCTTTTTTCTTTATGCTTTTAAAATAAAACACTTGTTCTATATGTCTCTCTTTTAAGATTTACTTGAAAGAACGACTGGACGCCACCAATGTTGTGGGCAGCTTAAATTTAAAAAGATGTAGAGGTTTAACTATAGCATTATAAAAAAATATTGGTATTATATGAATCATTATTAATTATAACTATTATATGGCCGTGGCACAGGATAAAAATATGTAAAAATAAATACCAGTAATGATTGTCTGATTCCATGTTAATAGATCAGCAAAAGTAGCATTTGAGTAGAAGAGCATGAAATGGTACTTTGTACCAGGAAGTCCTTGAAAATTAATTGTAGAAGCACGAGCTGGCACGGTGAAATTAGGCGCAGGTGAGCCATGTGGTGGCCGATAGTCTAGCCTATAGTGAGCTTCTTCACCCTCTGCCCCACCCCATCCAGGGATTTCAATCACAAGGTCTGCTCCGGAACTTAACCCCACGCCAGACTGTTACCAACAAATATTAAAAAATCAATCACATACTAATCACTTTTATAAATCGTAAAAATATTATTACCTTGTTTATATCCAATACACATTATCCTATAAGTAATTACATGTGTGCAAATTGAATAGACCATTCAACTAAATATTATTATTATCTATTGTTTCTCTGTCATATCTTTGTAGGGACAAAATAACAATGAATCCTACTTAAGATCATGATAATAATGGATAATCACAATTTGAATAGTCAATATCACATAATGTAATGCAAACAGTGAAAAATAGCAAGTTGAAGTTAGGTCTCTTTTTTCTATTTTGTCTATCTAATAAATACTTACGGTCAGCAGAAGCAGGGTCAGCGTCAGCTGTAGGGTTGCAGCTGCGCAAACGCACTTTCCACACACAGCCCTGGCTTGCACAATCGACCTCTTCCACATCATTGAAGTCGACTCTCTGATTTCACATGACACTTTCTCTTTCAACCAAACACCTAACTCGGATGATAGACCCATAACTGTTTCTACTACTTCTTTAACAGCGTCACATTATCGCTTTACAGAATTGATCTATTTAAAATAATGAGGAAACATTACAATTTATTGAAAAATACATCTGTTGTCATCTAAACACAATAAAGCAAAACGGTAAACTGACTGCTGACATATTGCATTTATGTAAACATTGACAGATGATAATTTATATTTACTATATGCATCTGTATTTATATATATATATATATATACTTCTTATAAGTAAAAATATTGTTAAACAAAAACGACAAGGTAATATTAACTGTTATATAATATAAATGCCATTAATTAAATGAATTTTATATTTTATTAACAAGATATTTTAAAGGTTTCATACACACTCCACAGAGTGTTTACTGATTTCCATTAGTGTCAAAAAGTCATCATGTGAAACTTCAACGTGACAGCTGATGTAATTTGCAAATAAAAAAAATAGAAAACTTTTGATTGTGGTTTTTTCCACCGATTTTTAATATCACTACTAAAATTAACAATTCCTTTACATAATGTATAATACTTAGTTAATGATTGATTAGAGTATAAACCTCGATGTAAATTCATTTAAGTATGTCGACTGTATTAGGCCGGGATCTAGAGCCTTATTACATATTTTTCAGCCAATTTTTGTAGTGTTTACAAAACAATAGTATTATTGGGTATTATGGCCTCAATAAGATGTGCTGCTGCAAGGCTATTGCGTATGGCTCCAGGTCTATCACGGCTGATGTTAGTACCGCTACAACGAAATGTTACATTCAAAGGCGGAGATCCGAGAAACCATGTTAGATATATGTTTGGAGCCGCATCTATAGGATTAGCATTGCTTGCTGGAACTCATATATATAATGGTATGGTAAAAATGCTTTACTAATATATAAGTGGATAAAAATATAAAAAAGGCATACATGCATTTTTATATATTTTTCATAGCACCTTTTATATAAGATTATGAAATCTTTATGCAATAATTTTATAAAAAGTTATACAATTTTGGTGCATTTGGGATACATTAAAAAATAATTTTATTTTAAAAAGCATTACAGTTTAAAACAAAATATTCTAACTGCAGCAAACATATTAGTTAGTTAATTTAATTTTAATATATTCCATATTAAAATGAAATTACCTATATTTCGAATTTAAATTGTATCAAATTTATGTACCAATCATGTAAACTGTAGGACACTACACCATTTAAATGGATTTTGTCAATTTTATCTGTTTTATGTGCTTATTTAGTTTAGTTACTTTACTTGTTTAATTTTTTACTATCTACATTAGTAATGATCAATATTGGTTCAAGTTATATTTAATTTCAGAAAAAAAGTTCTTCAAGGCTGCACAAGTTGGTAATGTTGCTGAGCTCCATAAGTAAGGATTACGCACTTTAATATAGTTCGATGTATTGTGTCACTGCTTAACTATTTTTAATTTTTGTAGACAAATAACAGCTGTTAAGGACAATGGATATAATTCAGGTGAAGGCAATGATGGACCAGCAGACAGACGTCATTCTCTTGGTTGGACTGCTCTTATGGCAGCGGCTGCGAATGACCACCCTACTGCTGTAAAAGAATTACTTAAATTAGGGGCGCGACCTGACTTGCGGGAACAATATGCTGGTGCATCAGCAACTGCTGCTACAACAGGTTTACATCCTTTGGAAGTCTTACAACGACGAGAGGATGAGTTCTGTAGTTCAATGAATGCCCGAGCATCATTTCTAGGGTGGACTGCACTACATTATGCTGCATTGTCTGATTCCACGGCATCTGCTCAAGCTTTATTAGAAGCTGGAGCTGACCCAACGGTGCGAGACCATGCTGGTCGACGCGCATTACATTACGCCAGGGATCCATCTCCCACGCGTGACGTCATTGTAGAGCATGCGCGGCGTTGGGAAGAAGCAGCCGCCGCTGCTGCGGCAGAAGAACGACGCAGATTTCCTCTTGAACAACGGTTGAAACAATTTATTGTAGGCCAACAAGCTGCAATTGAAACGGTCGCTGCCGCCGTCAGACGAAAAGAGAATGGTTGGGCAGATGACGATCATCCTCTTGTTTTTCTCTTCCTTGGTAGCTCTGGGATAGGTAAAACGGAGCTTGCTAAGCAATTGGCTCGGTACATGCACAGAGACGACCCAGCAGCGTTTATCAGGCTAGATATGTCGGAATACCAAGAGAAGCATGAAGTGGCTAAGCTGATTGGTGCTCCGCCAGGGTATGTTGGACACGAAGAGGGGGGGCAGCTGACTAGAGCCCTGGCACGGCGCGCTGATGCTGTTGTTTTGTTTGACGAAGTAGATAAGGCGCATCCAGATGTGTTGACTGTACTGTTGCAGCTTTTTGATGAAGTGAGTTGATTTTTATTTCATTTTGGTACACTGTGTTTCGCAAATTAATTATTTTTAATGTTGGTAGGGCCGTTTGACAGATGGGAAAGGCAAACTTATCGAGTGTAAGAACGCAATTTTCGTGATGACATCAAATCTGGCTGCGGACGAAATTGCCCAGTACGGACTGGACTTACGTCGGGAGCAAGAGACCTTGCATAAGCAGAGGGCACGCGCCCGCGCCGCTCAGGGCGAGCCCACCACTCGTAAGCTAAAAGGAACTTATTTTTTACACATATGTCGCTCAACATAACATTAGAAGAAGAATTAAGCTGAAATAAGTCTACCAAAACCATTCAGTCTGTAGTTTGCGCAAGTACTCGTTTAAATAAAACGTGTTAAAATCTAGTTTCCTACCTACTTTTTTTTATTTCAACTGTGACCCGACGTTTCCATGACAATGGCTGTTGCAAAGAATGCAAAACTTCGGGTCGTAGTAATAATAAGTTCATTATTTCGCCTATTTTATATTTTCGCAATATTTATATACCGCCGAAAGAGTTTTATTTGAAAAGTTCATACAAATACGGCGAACACGAAAAATTTGTTTTGTTTAATGTTGTTTCATTACAAATTTCAAGAAGAAATAAGATACTACTAGTTATATTTTAGATTTATTTCATATTATATATTAATTTTTTTCAGCAATCCGAGAGGACGAAGTACCTGAACAGTCTTTGGAAGTCTCGCGACAATTCAAAGACAGCGTGGTCCGGCCGATATTAAAACGTCACTTCGGACGCGACGAGTTCCTCGGAAGGATTAACGAGATTGTTTACTTTCTGCCGTTCTCCAGGCAGGAACTGCTTACCCTGGTGCAGTTGGAGCTCGGGCGGTGGGCGGACAAAGCCAGAGAACGACACGCTATAGAACTCCGATGGGAGGGCGGCGTCCTTGGTGCCCTTGCAGATGGGTTAGTGTTCTCTAAATTAATTCCTTTTACTTAATACATGACAATATTTGTCGTGTTCAAGTATAAATGATAGCCCTGTAATAAACAGATGGCGCTATCGTAGTAGATTTGACTTTGACAGAACAGCCTCCATCTTTAATCCTTCCGTGCCCACGTCTTATGCAAAACATCCAAAACAGGCCGTACTTAATAAGAAAAAAAAACTAATATATTTCGACTTGTTAAACGTAAATAGTGTTTTATTTAAGTTACACTACCTGCTCTAATTGTAAACACACGGTCAAAAAGTTGTTTCTTGAATGCATTGAAATATCAATTACAGATATGACGTACACTACGGGGCACGTTCGATAAAACACGAAGTGGAACGTCGTGTGGTGAATCTGATTGCGTTAGCAGCTGAACGTGGCGCGTTGGGACGGGGCGCGAGTGTGCTGCTGCATGAGGCTGGAGGTCGCGTGGCCCTGGCGGTGCGGACTCGAGGGGCTTCGGAATACCAACCGTTGGATCTTACTACTCTTTAGCAGGCCAAATGAAAACTGGGGGGAGCCTTCGGACCTTCACATAATAAACGCAAAGTAGGAGAAATGGGAGGAGGGCGATCAGAATGGCTCTAGTTAACTCGTACGGGGCTATAATTCTTAAGTTACATGAGTACACAACAGATGAATATTTTCAACTGTTGATACCAAAGTATGAATGTCATAGACAATGTGCAATTGGATTTTAAGTTAAATTATTAAGTTATGGTAGCCATTATCCTAAAATAATGTGATATGAAGTGATAAATTATAAAACATAGTAATAAATGTAGGTTTGAATATCTGCTGTTTTATTTTAGGTTTTCTTATCGATTGTGTGCCAGAGAAAATATTCCTTTATCTGTAAATTCATCTATTAATAAGTGCCGCCAAAACATTGTTTTAAAGATAGGCGAGCATAGAGTTCAGTTCATAGAAGGTAAAGTACCCCATTCATTCGTCGGAACTGGACTGTCTAACACCGGATTTTTAGATTTAGACTATGGAAACGGTAATCCACAGATTAAAACTAAAATCCAGATATAGACTCCACAACGTTTGTCCATAGAGGGTTGTTGTTGAACCGAACGGAATTTATGTATCCCTACCACCCACTTAATATCGAGAAGTTCCAGACGAAGTTTAATATATTGAAAAATAATTAATAAACATGTTGGACCCTTCAAGTGTTTGCCATATATTCGACAATGAGCTCTTCAAAAAATTTGATGATGATGATGACACTGATGATATTGAGGGTAGTTGAAATAAAACAAAGTGCTCGTAGTGCTTAATTTATGAAACTTCGCACCGTTATATACAAATATGTATTAATAAACAACAATTCTTTATAAAATATAAATTGTGAGTTCGCAGCGGACGTTTTGCGACACGACACGATTGTAACCAAACAAAGGCCTCCGGTGACAATAAATCGATATTAACCCCTAAACACTCATTAATTACGATCGCTATGGAAAAACAGTGAGGCTAAAATTGCACCTGCGCACTGACACTGCGCGTGCGCCGTATACATAACTCAACTCGCCCAAACAAAGCTCATTTCGTGTACACCAAAAGTATCTTATTCTAAGGGTTGCAGTATCTAATTTTGTAACTACACTGAAATTAAGTTCACTAAAATAAATAAATATTTTTTTAAATTGTGGCTCTGCTAAGTATGTGGTATTTGGTATAGATGACACATACGCACGACTAAAGCCGAATCTAAATCCGAAGCCGAATGTGTTGATATTTTCACCCTTATTAAAACAAAATGCTTTCAAAAAGTTAATTTGCTGCAACGGCCACCATCATTTTACAGCGTCTTTCGTTTTGGTAGTGGCTTTTGTGCGTTGGCCCTATAACTAGCTCTACTATGTTAATCTAGAAGCGTGTCTTAGAACCATTTTGAAACGCTGATTCTCTACATATCACTATTATTATAAACGCAAACTGCTAAAAACCATAATTCTTCTCTTCTTTAAAAAGATTTCAATGTAATATTATTCTTTACCTCTTACTCTATACAAACAAATGCGAGTGTCGATATTTATCATAACTATTGTAATAGTACTTAACATTTATAGGTATTATTAATAATTCTATAATTTTAGCTCTTGTTTTATATTTAGCGCTAAGTTAGTTAGAGTTTGTAAAATTAATAATTTTTTATGCCCAAATTTAATGTCGAAAAGATGTTAATTTTCGGAGCGGTAAGGCAAGTGTAAACGCTGACTAGGAGACGACTGTCTGCTTTTTTGACCTCCCCCATAAATAAGAGAAGAGTAGTAGAATAGCATAATTTTTCGGACCTAAAAGAAACTTTGGTCTACCCCATAATTAAAAATGATGTATTTTCAGCTTCGCTGGTTAGATATTTGCAAGAAGACCAACTAGTGGTCTTTTTTCTAGCATAAACAGTTTCTAATTCTATTTCTTTCTTGTTACTCGTCGGTTGGACATCAAGATAATCATAAGATTTGTAAAGGTCTAAAGGCTACTAAACAATACTAGTAATGTTTGTGACAAAGATGATTCTAAGTTAATCCCGTCTCTATATAATTCGATAGTAAACACAAACCACAAACTAGAAATTATACTCGACAATAGGTCACACAAAATCCCTGTTTTTATCTTGTTCGGTCTTATATAACTATTTACTATATGTGATTCGATATTTTATTGGAAAACTTTTTGGAACACATCTCACAATTTTTAGTTATATAAGTTAATTCCTATCGTTTTTTATCGTATAAAATTTTGCGATATTTAGTACATACGAACTAAATATTATTTATCTAGTAACACTACTTTAATTGCATCTTAATCGTCTAATTGGTGTTTTTTACTCGTTCAAAGGCCTATGTTAAGTTTTTTATTATTTAATAATATCTATCAGTACATAATGTTCGGTTTGATTTAATGTTATGTATAACGTAATGCACTATGCGTAACAAAATAAATGTGCGTTTTATATATAAAGTTATACGTTCCTCAAAGTTTGCTAAAATACACAGAACAAACAACATTCGTTATGACAAACGAACACTGTATTAAATACCTAGTACAGATCTCTCTGAAGTTAGCGCGACCGCCATCTTGTTTATGGTACTGTCAAATTTTAAGCAAAAAGTCGAGTCCCCCCCGTACCCGCGCACCCCCTTGTCGCAATTGATACCTACTTTTTGCGTTCAGCGCAATCATCCGCGCTAACTTCAGCCCGGCCAAATAGTTTGGAGAGCACTGTACGCTACAATCAATATTATATTCTTTTAATATATCATTGTATATACTAAGAAATTTAAAGTTTAGTTTTCAATATTCTTATGGCCGTGGTGGTGGACGCAATACATTTGCTCGCATACATATTAACTTAAGTACTGTGTGTAGTTCACGCGAGTAGTACATATTTAAATAAAACATCATTACGGTTTAAACGCGAAACTATATATAACTAATAGTTAAAATTGTTTCCTTTTATTTTTGGGAGACCTCTATCCGTCACGGCTGCTGAAAGCATCCGAAATGCTTTTTTAAACCGTAAAAGCGATTTATTTAAATTAATTAATAGTACTTAATTAATTTAAATAAATCGCTTTAACGTTTTGCATGCTATTTCATTTTGCTGTAAATAATATAATATAAGTATATGTAATAATATGGTAAAATAAGTATTAAGTAGCACGTATAAATTCAAGATGTTATCGCTGAGCGCGGAAAAACTGAACTATTTTCATATATTATGACATATATTTAACGCAGATACGTTATAATTTTTTATACGATGTTTACCTTATAAAAGTAAACTACAGCCAACCCGCGGAGTGGTGCGGTGCATGACCGTGTAGCGGCGTTACTCCGGCGAGACGCGCAAGCGCATCGCATCTTCCACATGATTCCGTACTCGTAACCGCTCTATTGCCATCGTCTTTAATTTGTTCCCCCTCTCTAACACCATTGACAGCTATTGATGTATCCATGCTTTCATAGCCGCACTGTCCGCAAGTACTCTGTGTGTTAAAAAGTGATTTCAAAGTTATTTAGACATGTGTTCCATACAAAAAAAAACTTAATCTATAAAAATAAAATGTGAACAGTAAAATCTTATAACGACGATGGTTTTACGAGTTTTGTATGTGCATACTAAAATCTCATTTAATGAAAAAGTCGTAAAGGAACTTCAAAAGTTCGAAAACATTAATATTTTATACTTATAGCGTTACATAAATACTATCTGTAGTTAACGCAAGTAGTACACATTTAAATAAAACACTTTAACATTTAATATATATCGCGTTTTAAACCGGTAAATTTAAAAGATGTTATATGAATTGAAAAACTATTTTAGATTGAAAAGAATTTACGACACCGTGTCAACCTCAAATAGATTTTTAATTTATAAAACATGTTTTAAAATAGCGAGGTCCCTGAGATTATTTCTTTATCGTATATTTTAGTATGTGCAAGAGTTTGTAGCTGAGTAACAAATCAGTAGAACGTACAAGTGTGTGTGAAATTTGGCGCGTCACCTTGAGTGCGTCGTCTTCCAAGCTGGCCAGAAGCGGTTCGGTGCTACCACCGCGAGCTGCCACACTTTCGGCAGTGCTGGAGGGAGATATGGGCGTTCTGCCTGAATGTGGGCGTTGTGGTTGGACCGGCTGATGAGCAGGCGGGGCGCGGGCAGGTACAGAGCTCGCTCTTTGTAACGCTTCCGCACCGCTAGCTGACCGTCCGGCCTCGGCTATTCGGCGTGAGTTGGAGAACTTCTTGCGCTTGGACTTAAGTGCAGCTAGCGCAGTCAATGGGCCACTACGAGTCACGCGCTCCGGGCTGCGGTGAGAGTCACTGCCAGAATCTGATCTTTCGCTGCCACTAAATTTCACACAACATCATTAAAACTACAATAGATACTTTTTATTCAAAAATTAATAAGAAACCAAATTAAAGTTTTTAAAGTTTTACGGCTCGAAGAACCAAAACGATCTATTGGGCCCAAATATTTTGTTTTTGCGATATTGGGAGGCTTCTTCATAAATGCTATATTATTTAAATACTTCCTATTACAAATTACATTTTACAGCATATGTTTGACGTAGATCTTAAAAGCTTTGCTATAGAAATTGTATTATAAGGAAATTTTTCCATTACCTCGGAGAGGGCCTCGCATGGTCACAAACAGAATCTTCGGATCGGGAGCGGCCTATTAAACGTGACACGCGAGCGGCACGTGCTGCTTCGATAATTGTGCCCCATCGGCGTTTGTGGTGCGGCTTGCGGCGGTCTGGTGGTGCTCCAGGTCCATCAGATAGACTGGATTGGCTGGTACGCAAACGACCACCCAGTAGAGCAGATAGTGACCCGTGGTGTGTAGCACCATGTGAGCCACCATGCTCATGGTGCAGCGACGCGAAAAACTCGTCTACTGGTGCCAAAGAACCACCAGCTATGTTAAAGCCCTTCATCAGACGACGTTCCTTTTGGCGGTTTTTCTTACCGCCCCCTCCACCTGCCGATCACTTATATTGTCAAAAAAAGGTTTTATACTGTCTGTAGTTTACGCGAGCAGTACACATTTAAATAAAACACTTTAACGGTTATAAATGCGATACATATTAGTTAAACTTATTTGAATATTATTTTAACTACGGCCCGACACAACAACAGCTGCCGTGGTCACGGCGAGATTAAAGATGGAAGGTGTCTCTGATGTCAAAGTAAAAACTGCTACGCTGGCACCACCTGTTTCGTCGTAGTTGGTATTTAGGGAAAATTGCCGGGTCCTTGTAAAATTGACTAACGGTGTCTTCGCGTTTGCCGGTATGCTGTTTTTTGGAATCCAAATATGGAGCAAAGCATCGATAACGTGGTAAAAATAATTTTGAAATAAGTTTAACTAATATATATCGCGTTTTAAACCGTTAGTGTTTTATTTTAAAAAAATCTATGTAAAATTAACTATTTAATAACAAATTAGCCTTTAAAAGAGTTGAAAAAAAACTTAATTGGAAGGTTCTAAGGGAAAATGGTGTTAGACCAAATTCATTAATCTAAAACTACGAAAGGTGAGTAGGGGTGAGAAGAAAAGGACAGAGAGGTAGAGAGACCTGGCGCACCCGCGTTGGCAGTAGAGGTGTTCATGCCGGAGTTGCGCAAGATCTCGACCAGCTCGCAACGGAAGGCGCTGACATCTTGCTTGATCTCGTTGACGTCATCTTCTGTTACTCCGCCGCATTCTGCGCGTCGCTGTTGCACAGTTACGTAACGGCGAACCAGGTTGCGCATGATCGCCTGAATTGTCATGTATTAAGATTTATATGTTACTTAAGTATAAGGTATCTTTGTAAGGAATATATACACTAGATTTAAATTTAAGTGCGGGTAGTTTTACGGAGTCGGCGCAATAACACTAATTGTAGCCCTAGATAGATCTATGATTAAAAAAAATATAATTTATTATTTCATTTTCTGATTACTCTGTGACCTAATAATAGTTATTTTTAGGTCACAAATTTATTATTAAGTATACATTATTGATGTTCGATATTTGAAATAAAGTTACTGACCGTTTAGTTTGAATTAAATAATTAAAGTATTAAAGGTATTTTTTAGATATATAATAAGGTAAAACAATACACATTTTTTCTTTCCTTATCTGCTATTGTAACATATTAAGGATATGAAACATTTACTAAACAGCACCGGGAAGTTACGTAAAAATTATTATACCCCAAAATTAACTCTTTTTGTATTGTTTAACATGCTAAATCAACAAAATCTCACCTGATATCGAAATTCACGCTCCGTTGTTTGTTTTGCTTTTCTCTGAAAAAGAAACAAAACAACTTTTATTGGGTTTTATAATAGGAATATTGAGACGACAAAAGGACGAATACGCACCCGTATAGTCCGCATATGTTCTCGCTTTGCACGTGCATGCCCGCATAGACGGCGCTGAAGCCACCGCCAAGCATAAAGAGCCGATTTGGGTGATGGTATCACGTTAAAAGGCGGTGGTGCTGTACCACCTTCCTCGAAATAACTGATCCAGAGCTTGCTTCGTGCGAACTTCCACTCCACATCAGCTCGCTCCTACATATGTGACGTTTTAAATTATTACAATAAAAATCGACCAGTCAGATTTGTGCACTAAATTATAATCTAGTTGTCTTTCGTCTTCCACAGATAATATTTTTCTATAGGTCTGTATCGGCTAGATTAATACATAATGAAAGAACGAACGCACTAAACAGCGGATATGATATTTGCGGATGACTTACGGATATCAGCTGGTACGAGTGATTCATCATTGCTATGAGCAAGTTGAGCAGTACGATGACGTTAATGACAGCGTAGGTGCCGAACATAAGCATGCCCCAGAACCGCGTAAAGATCTTTATTCCGTCCAGCTCGAAGGAATCTAAGTCCACAAGTCCGAAGGCAGCCCAGAAGAGTGTTTGCATTGTTTCGAATAAGCTGAAAATATAAGATATTTAGGTGATAGGAATATCGAATTGCCGCCTTATTCTCCCTCTACTGTTTAGCTTCTTCTTAGTTTCAGAAAAGAGAAGAAACTCTACTTTATTTGCCTTCATTTGTCACTATTTTTGTTTAATTAGAAATTAATAAACAGAAGCAACTAACTTGGCGAATCTTCTCCAAACAACACACGCGTCGTGATCTTGTAACGCAGTAGAGTTAACAGCACCATTTGAATAGGCAGATGGACAGCGTTTCTTCTCCATATCAGCGTAGTACCATAGCAGCTGGTTCAAACCTACACAATAGCAAGGGCGGATCCAGCTTTAGCGCCAGGAACACATAGTCGTGGTCAAGGCAACCTTTAATTTACTTTAACAATAGATAAAAAGTAACCCAATTGAACACTAGAAGAACTTAACACAAAATATTTTTGCAAATAAAATCAATATTGAACATACAATGGAGGTACACCTAAGTCCTGGAACCAGCCCTAGATTATCCGGTGCACAATAGACACAATAGTTATTAATCGTATCTGTAGTTAATATAAAACCTCAAGTTAACTTACCACAGGAAAAAGCGAATATAACAAGAATATCAAGGACGAAGAACTTGAGAATGTCCAGCACCATTCGACTGAGTGAGACCTGCAACGGGCCAAGGTGGGGATTGACGCTGAAGATATATACTAGCTTAAGGCTGCTGAAGATGTTGGCAGCTGAAAATAAGCCTTCGGAGAGGAGCATTGGATCCCATGCGTCCCACTTCTCGCGTGGCTGGTTCCATTGCAGGCCGAGATGCATCTCCCGTCGTACCTGCAAAATCCATCCATTAATAACAAGTATAGATCACTTTACCATCTGTGGTCCTTTCTTATAATAGTGTAATTATTTCTTGTAAAATTTACTTTAATCGTTGATGTTTCAAGCGTCCTGTTGCCGTAATAAAAAAAAAGATGATACAAAAATCTTTGTTTATTTCTATTCGAGAACTATAAGTAGTAGACGACGAAGACTTCGTTCTGTAGTACGTACGTAGACATCTTATAGTTTATTCTATTATATCTATAAAGCTAAAACAAATAGAACTTTACCTGGAAGTGAGAAACAACGCGTAAAGCGACAGTGGCAACGTACAGTGAGTTTGTGACAAAATCAATCACATTCCACATATCATGCACGTATTCTCGGAGCCCCATATCCCACAGCTGTTTCACTTCGCTCCAGATCAAACCTTGAACAAAAATAATTAAAGTTACCAAATTTATTCAACATACATTTGTTTTCTTCTTGTGGAAGTATGTGTGTTGCAACTCACCACTGACCCATGAAAGAATAAGCCACTCTACTAGAGTTGGGGGTGACCCTCTCCTAGATACAGGTGTATCTTGAGAAGTACCACCAAAGAAATCACCAGCTGTTGTCTCAATGCGCTGGGAAGCCAAGATTAACAGAACTGAAAAGGTTATATTTTGGTTAATTATAACATCCAGCTGTCGTGCTAAAGAAGAATGCTGTATAGCTTACATAAGAACATGAAGTAACTGGCCGAATGGCAGAGGAACTTGATGAAGGGCTTGCGAAGCATGCGGCCAGCGGCGGAGTGTGGCGCAGCGATATATGCGAGCGAGTATAGCGGAAACATGGCGCCGATGCGTACCATCTCAGCAGCTTGCAGCACCATGTTCTTGCGCCTGAAACCTGGTACGCTCTCGTACCAGATCGACGCTAAGAGTTGCTGCACGTTCGGATGCGCCACGAACTACGGTTGAGGAACATTGCCTTACATTAAGCAGCCGATGTTGTTGTTCCATAAGAAAGAATATTCTTATAAAAAATAAAAACACTTTAACGGTTTTAAACTCGATATATGCTAAACGTCGATACGAATGCTAACATCTTAAACGTCGCGCACTGGTTAAAATTATTTTTGAATTAGTTTAAATATATCGCGTTTTAAACCGCTGAACGGTTTTATTTGAATGGATTCTGCTCACGTAACTACAGACAGTATTTAAAGAATATTCTTTCATTATGATAACCGATGTTAACTTAGGCTAATTAATATTAATTTAAGCAAGCAGTTTTAAAGTTTCTGGGAAATTCGAGATTTGACATACGAGTATTATACCTGACGTAACGTTAAAATAGAAAAAAAAGATGTGGGTTTAACGTTTAAAACCTAGAATGGATATACCTATTTGAAGGAATAAGGTAATTTTGCTGCCGAAATAACATAATTTGTTGTTTGTTATTATTGTAAAATATGTAAGTTAAGATTGTTATAAAAAAACATACAATTCGTTTCGGATAAATGTAACAACAATCGATTTAAATAAAAAACTTTAACGGTTTAAAACATGATGTATTAGTTAAACTTATTTGATTTTTTTTTTTAACTTCGGTCCGACGTTTTGAATGCTTTGCAGCAGCTGTGGTCACGGGGAGACTAAAGATGGAGGATGTCTCTGACGTCAAAGTAAAAAATTGCTACGCTAGCGCCATCTGTTCCGTCGAAGTTGGTAGTTGGCGAAACTGGCCGGGTCCTTACAGAATTGACTAACGGTGTCTTCGCATTTGCCAGTATGCTGTTTATCCATTATAAATGAAAGCAATGAATAATAGAAAGTTACCTTCTTCTGCCGAAGTTTGATAGCAAGCTTCAGTCGGGACAGGCGCATACGTTCAGGAGCACCAGGCTCCAAAAGTGGTGGAGGCGGACAACCCTTCTCGTGATTGAGGAGCACTTGCAGCTCGTGCGATGTGCGCGTATGATCCAATAGCGCGGTTGCAAATTCTTGACACTGGACGCGCAGTTCTTGATACTCAGTCTTGAACTCGTGTTCTAGGGCGGATAGTCGTCGCAATTCCCACGACAATTCAAAGGCAGTAAGAATGGGGTCTTTGGAAGAGAGAGCGATGAGAGAGGGGGAGGCCAGGGCACGATAGGCGTTAATACGTGACCGGGAATGTCGAAGGGAGTCTTCTCGGCGGGAGCGGACACATTCGTCGCAGCCACACCTTACATCATGAGGTGCTGGTAGCCGCGCCCCCCTATCCAGTAATAGTTTAATGATTTCGTAGCTGTCACGGTGCGCTGCTAGAATCAACGGTGTTATGTCTGATGTAAAGGTTGCTGTTTCTGGAGGGAGAGCTTCCCAACTCTGGAAATAATATTTGAAAATTATAGCTTTATAGTAAGCATGTCAGTAGGATGGGCCTGACAAGCACATAGCACATATCATGTTAAACTATAAAAAAAAAAAAAGTACTGCACGGATCTTTTCGCTGCAACACGCGGATCTAATAGAAAAAATAAAATAACTGTTTTTTTAAGTTTTAAAAAATGTGGGATTAGAGTAATTGAATTGATTACACTTGCTATAATGTTAAAAAAACAAGAATAAGAGTAGAAATTTCTTTTAAATACAAAATATTAGAAATCTCGTCTATAAGCAACATAAAGCTTGTAAGAAAATACTTTTAAAACGCGACACATACTAATAAATTTACTTTTAACTATGACCCTAAGTTTTGGACTCTTTGATTAATCGATATACGCACATTCTAACCTAACGGGACATAATCTTAAAGTACTAGAACTGTGATCCAATTCGAGTTTTTAATAATAAATGAATTATATTTTGGATTAAAATATCACATAGATAAGCAGAATAAATATCTAAATTTAAAACTGAATAAAATTTACACGAAATAAATTAGACAAAGGAAATTCACAATTTGCAACTTTCTTTCTTGTTTTTCACTTTTTTAATAGAATGTTAGTATCATAAAATTTTACTAGACGACGACAGCGTTTCTAGAACAAATAAAAATTTAAATACCAACATGGGGCTCTCCCTCCTTTTTGGTGCGTTCCTCATGATCTAGGAGTGCTTCAACCGCCTCAACGAACTCCTCAGAGATAGCATGCAACAGCGCGTCACGGGTCTCGACGCCGAACTCGAGGAGCAGTTCCACCATCTCCAGGTTCTCGTTGTCGATGGCCATGAGGAGGGCGCTGCGGCCAAGTGGATCTACGCAGTCCACATTGATATGACCCGTGTCCCTTGCTCGCTGGAGCACACGCCGTGTACCAGCAACGTCACCACGCTCCACACCTAACAGGTACTTTTTCTCTTCCAGGGACAGTACCGCCATTTCCTGGTGCGGCCGCACCACATTTTCCTCCTCTGTCATGCCATGTATGCTGTGCCGCTGTAACATTATAAAATAAAGGTTTGACGGGCTTGTTGGTCTAATGGTAGCAATGTATGGCTAATGATCGATGGGTCGTGGGTTTGATCCCCACCAGGTCCAACGTATTTCAAATTGCTCGATTTATAATTTTGAAACATGCTGGACTTCGTCTCGAAACCTGGATATTAAATCGGTGGTAGGAATAGAGAAATTCGGTCTGGTTACGAACCGCCGTCCACAGATGAAAAAGCCGTGAAGCTTAATTTCGGTTTCAGTCTGTGGATTGCCGAGTACGAGCCGAAAATAGGGCGACAGCGTATTATATTTTGATGCTATAGGCTAGGGTATATCACTTGCCACCATGTCAACCCCATGCTATGTCTGTCCTTCTCAATCATTTAAAAAAAGAGAATCCTCGTAATCTTAGCGGACATTAAGCTTAACAAAGCAGTTGAGAGTCTATTTATAAGGTTCGATAAACACAATACAGTAAGGAACTGGGCTTCGGTTATTCTTCATTATATTACAAATAGACGCATTCCACCTACATGCATCAAGGATTGTCTTTACCTATTAGTGTCGCTCTGCTGTCAACAGGTTTATTGTCTGTATAGTATGTAATAGAAGGCTGGGTTTAAGCTTATCCAGAGCAATGACTTCTACCACTAATTTAGTGATGGCAACCGGGAACAACTGCTCAACGTACTAACGCTATTCTTATATTTGAAAACTTTATTATGTTTTACATGTTATTGCACATGAAGGCACTATATAATTCAAAAATCGAAATTAAATTCGACTCAGGAGGTTGCTTGGTAGACAATTGAGAATTCAATTTATTTTCGTTGTTTAAATTATTCTTAGATTTGTTTTTTTAAATACCGAACTGAAATTTATTAAAGGCTTCGAAACCTGAACCCTCGTTTACTACAGTATACTAAACACTAGATCAAAGAAGTAATGCCATGGTTGCCATGATAGAATAGAAGTTGTCCTGCTAATATGATTGATAAGGTCGTACAGGTTTTAATACAAAGAGGAATGCTGAAACAGAAATACTCCAGTATATTCACTTCAATTGCGGCTGTTCCGAAATATAATTACGCAGGCTGATCAGGCAAACGTTGTTTTGTTGTTTGTAAGAAACATACTATTGATACAACTCGAATATGATAGATATATTAATTTCGACCAAATTTTATACCATAAACACGGTTCTTGCGAGTTAATGTTAAAAATTTTCGCGAGCATTTTTTAGATCATTAAAAGAGGAATCGTTCTTTCATACATATTTTTTGGTTTCTTGAACCGTTTTTGCAGTGCACGCAACGGAAACTAATTTTTCTCGCTTTTTCACATTTTCCAATATTTGTATGCTTCTATTGGACGCAGCATGATGTTACGTAGTCTAAATCTTTTTGATAAATGTTTTAAGTCAAGTCATTTTACATTTCGAACCAGAAGTCCCTGAGATTAGCACGTTCAAACATACAAATAAACAAACTCCGAAGCTTTATATATTAGTATAGATAATGCCAATAAGCATGTAGAGTTAAAATACTTAAATTTCTTTGTCTTATATAAATGAACATTATCGCCTATTTATCGCAAGTCGTGACGATAAAATGAAACAGGCTATGAGCTAGGGGTGAATTGTCTTGCGGCGCGAAAGTGTCTGAAACGGGGGCCGCACCTCGACGTGTCACGAGTGACGGCCGAGTATTGACACTCATTATGCAAATGGGTCGTCCGAGCCCCGGCCTCCCTCACGATACAGCCGTACATCGTTCACACTCGTCTGCTAAGAGCCCTCGGGTGAATCAGCTAAGTCTACCTATAAAGCTTTTATCGCTGCTAACGATTCAATTCTTAGCGTGCTAATTTTATATTGTTTAGTTTAGTTCTTATGGGATATTTCGAGTTGCACAGATGTCTGTGGGAATTGGGGCAAGTGTACATACCTTGACCTTGTTGTCGAGCGGGCGGGGTTCCGGGGCGAGCAGAGTGCCCAGCTCGACCCGACACGTGGAGGGCCGCCGCTCGCCGCTTCCGCCGGACATCTCGGATCCGCTCTCTGCACAAACGAACAAGCATTCGCTCACTGACGCAGCTGCCGCCTGCAGCGGCCACGCTAACAGGCGCAGCCGCTGACGCGCACATCTTCACATTTCGAGTGTATTAGTTTGTAGCGCATGCGCACTCACCTGCGCCGTCGCCGCGCGCGCCATCACGCGATCTCTCCGAGAACTGAAACAAGGAGTGAAGGATTAATAACTGGTTAAATAAAACATTTTAACGGCTTAAAACGCAAAATTTATTAGTTCAACTTGTCACCTGCAAAGTATACGAAACGTCGCGTAAAAAATAATTTGTAATTAAATTTAACTGATATATTTCGCGTTTTAAGTCGTTAAAAGTCTTTATTTAGAAAATTAGTTATCAGATTATACCTTTACTACAGACAGTATTATGCTTTATCGAAACTATGTTATAATATGTTTAAATAATATATTTCGCGTTAATTTTACATTTCAAATTAAATAAAGCTCTTAATTTAAATGTGTCCTACTGGCGTGAACTACAGACAGTGTTTAGTAACTGGTTTAGAAGTCAGTTTGCAAAATAATCAAGAAGTTCAAACCTACCGAAGAATCAATTGAAATGCCAAACAGAAAACGATTAGGTCGGCAAGGGCGAAGAAGGCTGGTGACCTACTTGTTTCTAAATAGAAATAGATCTACTAACCGCTTTATGTTACATTAGACATACAGAATTGTGCCTTAATTTAGATTACAATGGACTTAATTTTTCCTTAAACTTCATGAAGAGAAGAGTATGTAAACTTCCGTTACCCCTCGTGGGGCAAATGGGGCGGTTTTATTTACAGGCTCGTTTGAAAACTTTAATACTTTTTACATGTTATTGCATGTTATGCACACGATGGCACCATATAGGTTAAGAAGTGCTGAGGTTAAATTACATTGCGCGTGAGTATCAATAAGTTGAAAAAATTCTACGATGAGGACTCGGTATCTCAATTGGTCAGAGCAAAAGCACGGATCGCTGACGTTGCTGGATCGAGTCCGATTTTTTTCAATGTATAGTCGATTATCAGGCAATTTGATCAGGCTTCTGTATCTTGCCCGACCAATTATACCATTTGACCAATTTATTGTTTTTCCGGGATTCAAAGCCAGGAAACGCGCTTAACCTAATTCTAGGCAACACGTTTTACCATTTAGATACAGAGGCAGAGAAGTCAGAAAATGTTTTTAATATTTGCATGGGTGAATCATTTCACTATGCATCAAATAAAGAAGTGAAATAAGTCGAATACCTGTACGCGACGGCCTCGTCGCGCGGCAATTTGCCGCGAGTGCCGCCGCAGTGCCTCCAGCGTGCTGCTGGGGCTGCCCCACCCACGTTCTCTGCTTCAGCCTGCCTCACGCCACCACCCTAAATTAAAAGCTTGTTATCAGTTATTTCAAATCGACAACAAAGCTTGGATTTTCAAACTGTTCGACCGTCGTAATTAAGAAATTGCTTTCGACGTTCTCTCGGCGACGACTCGACGATATTACTAGTAGATCGGCATTAGGAAATGCTGCACGTTCCTCGACTAAGCCACTAACGAATCAAAGCGAAACAACAGTTACATAAAGGCTTGGTACACTTGTAAGCTTATTTCAACACGTTTTTCGACAGATATAAAATAGATGACATAGGAACCGCTCTTTTACCATAAAAAGAAATTCGACTAAAAGTTTTTTTAATAAAGCACCCCGTGACTACGGCTGTTTCAAAGCATGCGAAACGTCGGGCCGTAGTTAAAAATAATTTTCAAACAAGTTTAACTAAAATATTTTAAACCGTTGAAGTGTTTAATTTAAAAGTTTTTACTATAAAACCGGTTCTATTGAGTCTATCTTAAAGAATAGATATATACTGTGGCGGACATTTCTTTAGATAATTTAAAAAATATATTTTGTCGGTATCTTGAATAGTTTTTGCAGTGCACGCAACGGAATCCCTTAACGATGGATTATTTATTCCACATTTCCCACTATTTCTTCGCTCCTAACGGTCGTAGTTCGATGTTTTATAGCCTTTATAGATTTTATAGCCAACAAGCACAAACAAATTACAATTCGAACTAGTAGTTCTTGAGATTGGCGCGTTCAAACAAACTCTTCAGCTTTATATATTTAGATACAGTTGAAAACGCATACGCTCTTTACTCGTTACAATACGAAAACGGCTCAGCAGTGTCAGACGATTTGCAAATTAAACTCCCCCTAACTCCCACTCTTATTCCTACACTCACTCTCACTCTCACTCCCAGTCCTATTCCCAACAAGCCAAAGAAGCAAGTTTCATTGTTCTAGCTTTAAAAACGACGAATTTCCATACAAACTTTCACCCCCCCTTTTAACCCTTTTCAACTCCCTTTTCGCATTAAAAAGTAGCCTATGTTCTTTCTCAGGGTCTAGACCATTTGTGTACCAAATTTCATTCAGATCCGTTCAGTAGTTTTGGCGTGAAAGAGTAACAGACAGACAGAGTTACTTTCGCATTTATAATATTAGTAAGGAAGTATAGATCCCATTAATAGGCAATCAATCCATAAAGGGATGAGTAATAATCAACAGGACGTGAGTTCGATTCCCACCCGGTACAACTCGTTTCAAAAAATAGTATAATTTTTCCGAAACTTTTTATGGCTTCGTCTAAAGATTCTTTGAATTTTGATATTCCGATCACGCACAATTGAAACAGATGTAATCGAGTTACGATTTCAGTCTGTGGATTTTCAAATAATGAGAGCGAAAATAGGCATTAGCGCATTTCGTTTTGATGTTATTTGGCTGTGGTATTCAAATAAACGATATGCTTGACGATCCACATCTGAATACTGTCTATAGTTTACGCGAGTACTACACATTTAAATAAAACACTTAAACGGTTTAAACGCGATATATAGGTTAAACTTATTTGAAAAGACGACGGGAGACGTCTCCCCGTGACCACGGCTGCAAAGCGTCCGAAACGTCGGGCCGAAGTTAAAAATCATTTTCAAATAAGTTTAACTAATATATCGCGTTATAAACCGTTAGTGTTTTATTTAGACCCTCATCTGTTAATTATAAGCGGAAAGCGTTTAACAAAATTACATTTAGCAATTATGTGTGTGTGTTTACGTGTTACAATATTACAAATTAGACGGTCTTAATTGCCGAGTAATTTTAGTTTTGTCAGCCGTTGTGGCCTTAAAAATATATATACATACATAACATACATAACAGCTTAAGTTTTACAAATAATCATTATTTTGACCGTAAAACGAATAGTATGGACTCGTAGGTCTAATGGAAGCAACTTTTTGCTAATAATATCCATGGGTCATTCGATCCTCACGAGGCCCAACATGTTTCTCATTAATCTATAACTCTACTGAAATATGTGTTGAAAGAAGAGGACAGATAAGCATGCACTTTCACTTCATGGGAGGTGAAATACCTCAGCCATACCTATAACATATAGATAACATGAGCTGTCAACCTATTTTGGCTTTGGATATTCGGAAACCAACAGACTGAAACCGAAACGCGATTAAACTTCACGGCTTATTCATCCGCTGTCGGTGATTCGTCCAGAACGGAATTTCGATAGTACCACTACCCACTTCCAGATCCAGATTTCCAGGCGTAGTCTAACATGATTCAGAAAAATTATAAATTGAAAAATTTGAAACACGATGGACTCGGTGGAGATTGTACTCACGACCCGTTGATTACTAGCCATACATTGCTAATATTGCACCAACGAGCACGTCAACGTGGAGTATTCATGTGAAATTCAGAATACCAGATGGTAAGTACTAAACAGAAGCTGAACGTTTTTATGACTTACGATCGCATTGAACTCGCTATGACTCACTTAAGGCTAATCAAACACAAACAAGATCGACTTCACTCGACCGAAAACTCTCCAGAGATAAATTCAAACTGTGTTTACACTGGCTGTTACAGCTTGGCATATTAATGAAATCGAACCTTGCTAGGCGGCGCAACTGTTCACAAACGTTCCGTTACCGCCATTTCAAAGAAGCTCTCTATCCAAGCTCGAGTCTACTGAATTATCTAATGGGAAAATATGCCGTTTCATTTAGCTGTGTAGAATTTTTTTAAAACGCGAAGAAAATTATTTACAATTACGTAGGCAAAAAAGAACATATGCTACTTTTTATTTGTCTCAACCAATCGGAGAATACAAATTGAAAATCTGCTAAACAATAAATGTTAATGATCCGAACGATGATAATGATAAAAGGAACTCGGGATAGTTATAAAATTTGCGAACTTACCGACTGTAATTTATATCCAGGAAGGGTGAAGGATCGTCATTTATTTTTATCGCGATCGTAAGCAGGATTTAAGTACAGCTTGGTATCGTGGTATTCGCAACCACGGTTTGGTGGTACCGTTTCGATTACGCGAAAGCGCTGGGCGGCGCGCGAGCGGATGTGGCGGCGAGCGTCTGCGGGCCGCGCGCGCCGCGCACTGCCCTCCGCTGCCCGCTGCTCCCGCCCGCCCCTTACACCGAAACTGCTAGGGCGGATACAAGCTATCGGCACGTTATCGATACAAATGATAATGAAGGTAAATATTAATATAGTACAACTAAATTAATCGCGTCCAAATTATATAAAACATCTGTTTGAAGGAAATTCGTACATACCTATACGTTTAGAATAAAATATTCAATTTAATATCTTGTAGCATTTATTCCACTTTTTATATTCTTGTAGTTTATTTATTTTTTGACGTTGATTTGTGTTGTGTCAACCAATTAATAAAAATCAATTTTCAAATATAATTTAGTTTTTTTTATTGATAGCAGCGCAGATCTTCCTAATAACTATAATAATCGATCAACGCCGCCCGCCCTAGCGGTAGCGGCGCCCGCTAAAACGGCGCAACTTACGAGCCGCCCGCCCGCCTGCCCCGGTACTAACACATTCGGCTTGCAATTACAATTCACTTAATTATGTATTATCATTCCGCGATTACAACTTTACAACAACTGTCAAGAGTCTGAAGGTTCATAAGTATCTGTTCGTAATTTAAAAAAAATTCTCATTCCAGTTAAAACATGCAAAAGAAATATACTTAACCTACTTTCAGAAACGACCGCAAGGAGTGGATTGTTCTTTATTTGAATGTGTTTGTAATGTGCTGTTTAATAAGATCATTTCTGTAAATGCCCGGCGCACCTTTTTAATAAAAGCGGGCATGACAAGCGCTATCGTTCTATTTTAACTTTAGATATTCGGAAATCTACAGACTGAAATCGAAGCGATTAAACTTCACGGCTTTTTCATCTGTTAAAAGGTGGTTCGTGACACGGACGGAATTTTGATTTCCCAACCATTTAGTTAATATCCAGATTTCCAGACGAAGTCCAACATGTTGATTAGAAAAATGTTGGACCCTGTAGGCATCGAACCTACGACCTTTTACTAGTTAGCCATACATTGTTATCACCAACGGGCTATAAAAACCTTTAAATAAGGCACTTTAACGGTTTAAAACGCGATATATTTTCTTCCGTGACCACGGCTGCTGCAAAGTATCAGAAACGTCGGGCCGTAGTTAAAATCAATTTTCAAATAAGTTTAACTAAAATATTTCGCGTTTTATACCGATAAAGTGTTTTATTTCAATGTGTACTACTCGCGTAGACTACAGACAGTATTTATAAAGACCTTTTAAAATTCGTATTCTGTTCTTTATATCGCAACTAAGTAATTTATGTATTTAAAGATATACTATCTACGATGTACTCGTACTTATAATTGTAGAATATTAATAAGTACATACAATTCAAATAAAGAATTCCGGTTTATACTCCAAACGATATGCCAGTGATGGAATGTTGTTTATTCATATATATCTAAATATGTCGGTATTATATGTTGAGTTACTCTGGTATGTGCAAACTTTTAGTTGTATGTAAATTTTGACACGTACCCTGTGTAGAAAATCTGCTGTAGAAATTAAGCAAACCATGTTTTAAACTATCGACGATCTGTTTCATGCCTCGAAAAGCCCAGCGTGTTAGATTAGTTCCCTTATTTAATTAAATGTCAGAAATAGAGATCCAGCGTCTATACTATGTGAAAAGTAGGTTTTACGAAGCCAAAAATAGATCGACTACACATCTTGCTTCGTATATATGGCCCATGAATTTTGTCTTCTCTGCCTTCTCTAAAAAAACATGTACAACTTAAAAAATATAAAACTATTTATTTTTATTAGTTTTAATAAAACAATCTATTAACAGTTTAAAACGCAAAACGTTAATTTAAAATCGATTATCAATTGAAAAATGGACACTGACAACACGGAAGGCTTAAGTCATGGGGCGAACACATTTGTGTGTCCGTTTCACTGATCCGTTCTTTAACAGGCAAGTAGTTGATCAGACTTCTGTGCCCTGCCCGGCCGAAACAACTTTTTTTGTTTCCCTGGGATTCAAACCCAGGAGCTCTCGTGCTCAACGCAATAGTAGGCAATACGTTTAACCATTTGGCTACAGAGGCGTGAGGCAAACGCTAAATGTAGTTAAACTTATTTACAAAATGGCCACGGAGGAAGTTGTAAATACGTGTAACTAATACCTTTCACGTTTTAAACCGTCAAAAGTGTTTTATTTAAACATAACATCAGCAAATATGTTAGTTTTCAGTTAGCTCAGTTTAATCATTAATGCGAGTCGACGAAACGATAGCTAATGTTGCAATAACTCAATGACATAAGCCAGCCGACTGTAATTTTGCGGGCGCACGTAATGGAGTAGTGATTACCTTCCTCTATCGCCAGTACCAATTCGAAACTGAGAGACGCCGTTGATAAAATGTGACTCAGGCTTACAGATCGCTTCGCAAACGGTTTTCATAAACAAGGAAACTTCAAATTGTTTACTCACCTTTTTGGTGTTCGTGAGAAGCTTATTCTGGACGTTATGGGCACTTAACAGACGCGTTCTGTTTATGCGAACCACCTGCTTTAAAATATAATTGTTTTCTTATATTTTAAATAATCCCAATTATGTTTTTTTTATGATAGAGGAGGACAGAGAAGCATTCGGTTCACTTGATGGTTGGTGAAATACCACATTTATCATCTAAACAAAATGCGCTGTCGGCCTATTAGGTTTTAGATATTCGGAAATCCACAGACTGTAACTGAAACGTGATTAACGGTCTGTGCACACCCGGGCAGAAATTCGATATTCCTCCAATATCTCGATTGCTAGATAAAGTACAACATACTGCCTGTAGTATACGCGAGTAGTACACATTTAAATAAAACACTTTAACGGTTTAAAACGCGATATATTTTAGTTAGTTAAAGTCGAAGTAGTTTATCCGATACGGCGGGCCGTAGTTAAAAATAATTTACAAACAAGTTTCACTATTATTTAAAAATACAACATGTTTCTGGACAATAATAAATTGTTGACAAAATGTTACATGTTATTGCAAATAGGGTACACCCATTTTTACTTGTAGGGTCTGATACGAATTTCTGATAGATATATGTATAAGTACATGTAGTGGTTCTGTGCCCTGCCCGAACGAAACAATACTTTATCTCTATAAATAAGTATAGATTAAATTTAAAGTACCTACAGACTTTTCATTGAGACATATGCACCTACTTGTGGTTTGTATAATTAATTTTGGTCAGAGAAATAGAAATTCTAAATAGTAATAGCTATTATTTCTAACAAAGACTCTTTTACCCTTGGGAGCGAATGCAAAAGCTAACCGACAACCACACCTTGACCAACAGTATAGCTATTGATCAAATTATTCTACTAATACTTTTATATTCCAATCCAATTAACCTTTCCGATATATATCCATTGCCAATTTAACATAACTAAAAATTGTATAATTGTAAAATTTCATCAAGATTCGAAAAACGATAAAAACACTTTCATAGAATAAAACAAAAATTCATGGGGAAAAGTTAAGTATTTCGTTTTCTTTTAAAATATAATAATATATTACACTAGCTGTGTCAGCGACTTCGTCTGCGTAGAATAGTTGTTTTGGGCATCCGCATTTGTTTTTGCAAACCTCTACATCTTTATAAATGTATGCTGCCCATGACATCGGTCGCGTCCCGTCGTTCTTACAAGATAATCTTGAAAGATAGACATATAGCGTCCCTTTTATTTAGACCACTTAAAGAGAAATCATTCTTACATATATATTTTTGGGGTTATCTTTAGCCGATTTCGCAGCGTACACATCAGAAACCCACAGAGATGAAGATTTTCCCCCGTTTTGTTCACATTTCCCGCTGTACCTTCTCTTCTATTAGTCACAGCGCGATGTTTTATAATATATAGCGTTTCTCAATAAATGCTTTAACCAACAAAAATAATTATTCAATTCAAACAAGTAGTTCCTGAGATTAGCGCGTTCAAACAAACAAACCATTCAGCTTTATACGTTAGTATACCTTTAAAATCTAAGACACAGGTGACCAAAAGTGTAGACCCCATGAATCATTTAACTTTATAGGTACATTTTTGTTACAACAGACACATAATATGTATGTCGTCTGGCAGTGTTATAATTTTCCGTTGCTAGACTGCTAGAAAACACTCCCATTGGACACTAAATTTATTGTGTCGTTGCTTAGCATTTAGCAATGAACATTGACATGCAAAAATAATAATTTAAGTGTAATATTTATTTTTTATATAGAATTAGTAGTTAAAAAATTAATATTGAATTGAATAATATATTATTATTACTATTTTTTATTATAAGTTTATACTATAATATATTTTTCTAATGTTAATCGTAATGACATATTGTAGGAATAGCAGTATAGATTATTAAATGATCGACATAAATTAAAGTACATATTTTAAAAAATATTTTATTTACTTGGTGGGCTTTGAACCCACGACCAAGGCCAGATTAAGTGGCAAAGCTACGGTATTCTAGATATAAATACAACGTATATAAGCTAAATAAGAAAATTATAATAAATTTGATTTTTTATAAAATGCGTTGTCGATCTCTTTTAACCGGCTTCAAACAAAGGAGGTTCTTAATTCAATTTGTATAGACCTTTTTATGTTTGTTTGCGCATAACTCCGTCTTTTATAAATCGATTTTCATGGTCTTTTTATTTTGGAATTGATATGTCCGAGGTAAAAGACACATTCAAAATTAAATTACAAAAAAAAATATTATATTTAAGTTCAAATTCTGCAAACTAAATATATATATATATATATATATATATATATATATATATATATATATATATATATATATATATATATATATATTACTTTTTAGTTTACTTTATGAAGTTGTTTAGTTTTCATGAAAAAAAAACTTCGGAAATGTCGAATAAATACAGTAATAATGTCTTCGCTAAAGCAACGTACACTGGCTTATAACTATATATAATATGGCATAGGTAACATCTGTAAATCAGCCATTGTTTAACATCTCTTTGATTTCCAATTTTACGAGGGAACGGTGCCATTGAGACGAAGTGCAGAACAGGCCTTCATTAGAATATTTCACGTTCTATGTTTGCTATGTTAAAATAAGCCAATCCAATGACAACCTCTTAACATCACGATTATACGAATACTAGCTATGTCAGCGAATTCGTCCGCGAGAATCGTTATTTTGAGGTTATTTCCAATTTCGTTTTTGCAAAACCCTTCATCTTTATAAACTTAAACTGTTACCCACGACGTCGGTCGCGTCCCTTCCCGTCGTTCTTGCAAGTCTTTGAACCGTTTTAATAATATATATATGTACATAAATGATGAATAATTTTCCCATGTTTTTCACATTTTTCGCTGTATTAGTCACAGGGCGTGTTTTATAGCCTATAGCCTGCCTCGATAAATTTTCTAATCAACACAAAAATAATTATTCAATTCGAACCCGTAGTTCCCGAGATTAGCGCGTTCAAACAAACAAAAAACTCTTCAGCTTTTTATATTAGTATAGATTAGTACAATCTAATCTGTTGTTTTCTTGTTCAAAGTCAAAGTCAAAAAGATTTATTCACCGAAGCTAGGTACAGTTATGAACGTCACATCAGCTAAATACTAAATACTATTTACTTTTAATAACAGAAGAACAGACAAGAAACTAGTCGCCAATTCTTTTATCGCCAGTTTGCAATTATCATGTTTAAATAAATCACTTTAACGGTTTAAAACGCGATATATTAGTTAAACTTATTTGGAAATGATTTTTAACTTCGGCCCGACGTTTCAGATGCTTTGCAGCAGCCGTGGTCACGGGGAGACAGTAATTATAATGTTCATAAAACTTTAACAACTAATTGGTAATAATGAATTAATTTCGACCAAATGTGATTAAATACTGTCTGTAGTTTGCGCGAGTAGTACACTTTTAAATAAAACATTTTAACGGTTTTAAAACGCGATACATTTTAGTTAAAATTATTTTTAAGTACGGCCCGTCGTTTCGGTTGTTTCGCAGCAGCGGTGGTCACGGGGAACCCACGGCTCTGTTAATAATAAATTTCAAACAAGTTTAAGTAAAATATATCGCGTTTTAAACCGTTAAAGTGTTTTAAATGATTTTTTTATCATTCAAAAATCATTTTCAAATAAGTTTAACTAATATATCGCGTTTAAACCGTTAAAGTGTTATTTAAATATATTTGTCATCCTCACCTTCGATTAGGACTTAACAGCTTATGAGATTCGACTTTTCAAGGAAGCGGTTCGTTTATTAGAATCACAAAATGCGGCGTGGGGTAAATGGGAAGTGGGGGTGGTTCGGTGTTCCGTTAACCTACATCCAAGCTAATCGTAGCACGTGAAAAAGCTCGCGTGCCGAGTTCGTTCACCTTGCGGCCCTTCAATCCTGTTGGTTTTCCGACTGCAATGGATGTTATTAAATGTGCCTCAATTGCCCGAAACGACGAAACAATATCCAGCGCTATTATGTCATAGTGGTACCTAGTATCGGTGGTCTCTAGGTATTGTTTGATTCGATATTGTATTGGAGCTTCGAAAAAACCGGCCATACCAACGGCTAATGATCAACGAATCGTGGGTTCCATCCCCACCAGGTCCATCATGCTTCTAATGTCTGGAAATGTGGATATTAAATAGGCGGTAGAAATGTCGTAATTCTGTGAACCAGCGACTAGAGATGAAAAAGCCGTCAAGATTAATTAATCGCGTTCCGGTATCTGTCTGTGAATTTCCGAATATCCAATGCAAAAATAGGTCGACTACGCATCTTGGTTAGATGCTGTTGGCTGGGTTATATCACCTACCATCAAGTCCTAAAAATAATTTGTACAGAACTTTCATATATACTAGTTTTTCGTAGTAAATAACTAATTCTAAATTTAAAATTTATTCGTATATATAATTATAAGATACATAATTGACTTAGCTTAAAATTGTTGGTTGTGTATTAGTGTCGTATGTGTGTCATCTATGCTAATACATAGCTGAAGTGTTTCGTTTGATTGGATGCGGTAATCTCAAAAACTACTGGTTCGCATTGAAAAAATATTTTTGTGTTGGTTAAGAGTTTGTTTACCGAGGAAGGTAAAATATCACGCAGCGTGGACAAGGAATAAAGAAACATGTGGAAAAAAACGAAGAAAATTATTCATCCATAGTTTCCTTTGAGTGCGCTGCAAAAACGCTACAATACGCTCTAAAAATATGTATGAAAGAATGATTCCTCTTTGAATGATCTGAAACCTGTCCGCAATATTACCTCTTATATCAATAGATTACTCTTTTAAGACTTAACTTGCAATAACGGGACGCTAACAACATCGTTGGTAATAGCTATAATTTATAAACATGAGGAGGAGGATAAACCAATTTTTATGACCAAAATATATAATATTATATATAGTTTTCAATTCTTTTCCTTCCAATATAAATTATATTGTGTGACCTTATAATAAAGATATGCGCAGATGTCACGCGGGGAGTCGAACGAAGCCCCTTCGGGACCAGCTTGTAGCCAATTCAATTTTCTAAATTGCGTATAAAATGCGTTCAGCGATAAACAGTGTTTTACTATAATTTAAAAAAAATCGCGAAGGCCATACGGCCTTTTTGTATTGTTTTTTACAGTTAATGCCCATTTATTGATTATTGCTCTTGTTCCAGAATTTTCTAACCTCGAGTGGCTGGAGTGTGTAAAAGTTGCTGGCTTAGTTTGAAAGTAAGTAGTGATAGTTACTTACACAAGTTCTTATATATAAATTTAAGAAATTAATAGTAATGCCCAAACCTTATAACATCTTATTATTATGTCTATATAAGTATATAAACATTAGGCGTCCCCAGACTCAGACTAACACACGACTCGTAGGTACTTGTAAACTATGCGAACAACAAACGCTAAAAAGTCAAATATATGGGATATACCTATACTTTCTCTAAAAGGTTACTCTTTCTCACTTGTGGCTAAGATCTCTTTGCTGGTTCATGACGTCCACTTAATATTTCAATTATTCCTTAGAGTGTAAAAAAATATTTCCCTTCTTAATTCCCTTCGCTTAACTGACTGACATTACCTTTCTTCTGTATGTTATATAAATAGGTATAATATTATTTCATTTTTGTTCTGTTGTTGTTTTTTCGTGTAAACATTTTTTATATTAATTTGTGTGCAACATTTTTAATATTCAATTGTCAAAACTCTTAACGACGCGATCCGCCAGCGCTGGCGACGGTCGCGCACGAAAGCGTGTTTCCGGCGAAGGCATTTGGTCCTCGTTCCGCATACTCGTTTGAACATCCGTTCAGCTCTTCAAACTTCTTCTTCTGAACCACGGTCCTTGAACGAACGTCCTCCGGGCTATAATACTCGTAACCCAACAAAAAAAAAAACAACACAACTTATCAATTTAGTTTAATTTTTTGTATCCTTCCTTTACTGGCATACGAAATAAATAAATCAAGTATGTGATATAAAGATCTAAAATCAATGTAAGTAGGTATGTGTAATGGAATAGTTGAGTCCGGTCATGGCGGGATAGGATCGTGTTTGTGAATAATAAAAACGGCAGATAAAATAAACAAAACGAGATGAAAGCAGCCATCGGCCGTTATTATTATCTCAATTACATAAATCAGCGTACGCGCAATACAAAAACTTTAACATCAGTTTGCACCCGGATATCCGAAAATATCTTCACGCTTGATTAACCTTTTAATCATTGTGTGTGCTTTTTGAAATCTTTATGTTTGTGGCATGTTTGGGTAGGCTTAGGACGCAACAGCTCCATTAGCTCAAACAGCGTGAGCAGCAGCATGTAGATGAAGGCCAGCCAAGCGGCATCCAATACTATTTGCGTAGTAACCTTCGTTCCGGGTAAGGTGCGCCGTCTTACCATTATTCAGGATTCTGTAATCGTCTGCGTAAAAATCGTTTTCCCCAGTACAAGAGGGAATGGACTAGCACAATGCATGTGTAAATAAAGAGTACCCGAAAAACGGCACACGCTGCAACGGCGCCTATGTCTGTTTCCACCACTGTGACGGGTTTTTGTTGACACATTTTACGAAATGCTAAACAGCACTTCGCTTTATTTTCATTACATTATGATTTCCAAAAAATTACATTTTGTCTAACGGTGGTTCTTGAAGACCAACTGTTGACAGATGAATTTGTTGAGTGATGTAAAATAAAAATAACTAATAGGCCATAGTTTAAGCAAATCGTTGTCTCCGCCTTACTTTGTTATGATGCAATAATTATGTATTTTGAGCTGAAAAAATTTGTTCAATTTCAAATGAACGAATAACATATTCGTTTCTGCAATAGCGCCAGACCACATGTAGGCGTCGACAAAAATATATGGGGGCTCCTGTAACGCCCCTCTAGAAGCCATACAAATATTTAAACGATAGTCGATACGGGGATTCCCAGTCTCCCGCGCAAGTATACAACTGGATGCAACTTTATAAAAATAAAATTACTTAAAGAATTAATATTAGTGCAAGTCGGCCTAAAGTGCGAGACTATCGGCAACCGACGTGGATGACGCCGCCACTGTTAATCAAAAGAATATACTACAGCACTAATCTAATAGAAGGAGATTACTATGTAGATTTAGGTAAATTTAAAATGATAACCGTGGCCACACTGCAGACTTGTCAACCGTTGACGGTTGAGAGTTGTCAAACTTTGACAAATATCATTTTATGTCGGTTTTATGAATTATCATTTTTACGCAAGTATTATTATAGAAATCATATTATTAAATTAGTATTTGTTTGTGCAGTCTTTAACTGTTGGTTTTAAGTATTAAAAGTAAGTATATGCAATTCAGTGTAAATAAGTTTTATTCATATTTCATAGCAATAGCTCCGAGGAAGAAAACTTATAGATAAAACATCTATTTTACAGTAGAAACTACATAAGGTTCTTCTTTCAATATAATTTGTTATTTAGTAACCACATGTCTAAAATGACAGCAGTTCCTTTCAAAAGACCCGAAATTGATCTGGTTGTTTTATTTGTTAAGAAATGATGAAAACAGCTGTATCTGTTCTGCAAGAGATGATGGTGAAGTCCGGACAGGTTCCGGAATATGAGTGCGTTTCACAGGTAAAACTGTTTCTTTAATTCAAAGTATTAAATGAACTACAAAACAAAATTTGATCAGATGGAATAATATTTAAAAAATATTTTTAGTCTGGACCAAATCATCGGGCTATGTTTAAGTATCGCTGCAGTTGCAACAAATTGTCTGTGACTGCTTCGGCCCGTTCAAAAAAGGAGGCAAAGCAAGAAGTGGCTCGACGTATGCTTGCAGAGCTATTTATTCACGGAACTCCGGTACCTGCACCTTATGCACGCCCACCTTCTCCACGATCACCATCTCCAGATGTTCCAGAACCACCTGAAACTAAAGCATTGCCCTCCACAGTAAGTATATCAACATCTTTGACATGTTAAGTTATCAAGAATTAAAGCTATCATGTTTATTATATAATAAACATGATAGCTTTAATTCTTATTATATATATATATTATATAATATGAAAATTATAATATTTCGAGTGTTACATAAGCGTGTTTCTCTAAGAGCCTTTAAAATAAGAATTTAACATATAGTACTGTTCAAATGGATAGATATATATAAGTGTTAAACAGCCCATAGATGATCAATATTATTGTGCAATTTGGATTGTATAATACTTTGATGGCCACCCACAGACGTTTCAGTGTCTTCTAGACACGATAAATTCTATTGTACAACCCAGGTTATAGCACAATAATCATCTATGGGACGCTTTAATATATAATTATGGACTTACAGGGTGTGGCACCTAGTACTTCAACAGTTCAGCCAGACATCCGTAGCTATGTGGCACTATTGAAGGAGTTGTGTGAACAATATGTCATGGGTGCTCCACAATATGAGCTCATTGGGGACGCCGGGCTACCTCACCAGCGCCAATTTACCATGAGTGTGCGGCTAGGAAAACATGAGCGAGTTGCATCAGCTTCCACTAAGAAAACAGCGAAGCAACTTGCTGCTGAACAGCTGTACAAATACCTTAGGACAAATCTTACTAGGCTGACGCAGGACTTCGTAGAGGTATGAACTTATCCGACTTTATTATGTGCAATTGAAAAGTACAACAAGAAAGGAAACCGGTATGTATTATGTTTTTAGTAATCCTTACTATTATTATAAATGCGAAAGTAACTCTGTCTGTCTATTACTCTTTCACGCCAAAACTACTAAACGGATTCGAATGGAATTTGGTTCACATATAATCTAGACCCAACAGAAAGGACAGGCTTTTTTTTGCGAAAAGGGGGTTGAGGGGGGGGGTGAATTTGTATGAAAATTCGTGGTTTTTGAAGCTAGAAGAATGAAACTTTCTTTAGCTTTTTGGGAATAGGAGTGGGAGTGGTAGTTAGAGTGATGTGAAGTGAGAGTGTTGCGGCATTGATTGGCTGCGATAAATGCGCAATTACATAAATAAACAGCCTAAATAATTAAAAGTTCTACCCCAAGTCTCTATTCCACACGAAGTCGCGGGCACAGCTAGTTAAATATAAAGATCTTGTTTGGCACTAATGTATATAGCTTTTTCTTTTTTTAATTACATTTTTATATTTGCAGAATTGATGCACCTTGGTAGTAAAGAACCTACTACATTTTGGCATTAACTTGCTCTCTGTTCTTTTTAACAATGAGTATATTTTATTTAGATTATATAATTGTAGGATTAAACCAAAGCTGATTGATTTTACTGCTTGAAGGAGTTAGTTGTTATAGTGACATTAGGAGGAGTTTAAATGGACTTTTTTCTTTTTTATAGGAAGATGCTCTGCTTCGAGCCCATGAAAAAGCGATGGAGCGTTATGTGGAAGAGAAATCAGAAACTATTTTTAGACCACCACTTAATCAAAAGATTGCTGATTATCACTTAGGTCTGTTTATGCATATAGGTGGGTACTTATAGTATAGGATTGCAACGCTCGATCCTGCATTTTTTTTCTTAATTCTTGAGGATGGATTAATTGAAATGTATTAGACACAGCGTTGCGTGCTGCTGCTCTAACCAATTGAGTTACCGCCAGTCATACCACTTAAATTTTCTTCAACTCCGTACTTTTTAACTTTTTTAGTATCAATACATTTTTAATTTATATAATGCTATCATGTGTGTGTGTGTGTCTGTGAAAAATAATAAAGGTACTGTCTGTAGTTTACGCGAGTAGTACACGTTTAAATTAAATACTTTAACGGTTTAAAACGCGAAATATATGCGTTAATTAACCACGGCCGCTTCAACCATCCTAAACGTCAGGCCGTAGTTAAAATAATGTAAAAAAATCAGACTAATAAATGTATTTCTCGTTTTAAACCGTTAAAGTGTTTGAAATAATACCTTAAGGTTTCATGCGGTATATTATTATCTTTTAGAAATCAACAATGCTAGCTCTCATTATAATTTCTCACTATGCTATTGTTTAAAAATAATTTATAAAAAAGGCGGGATCGAGCCTTGGAATCTTATATTATTATTTAACGTGCATGTTTAAAGGAATCTTGGAAAAATGTTCAGTATAGGCAGAGTGATGATGCTCGGCGATCCTAAATAAAATTATACACAGTAATATTATAAAGCTGTTTAAGTGATATGCAGCATAATATTTCGGGAACTTACGGCGATAAGCTAGGCATATAAGTATTAAAATCGCTTATCGTGTTCCAGTTTAGAATATCAGTTTCATAGTGCAGTTAACCTGCGTACGCGCATTTTATTTAGAGGACCAATATTTTGGCTGTCAAAAGTTTGAGGCCCGCCTATATACTATACATTTTGCAGTTCTTTAAAATGTTTCATGTTAAATAGGCTTCCATGTACGTTAACAAATTTAAATATTTGCACGATCACATCTAACATACATATACATATTTTACGTTAGTATTGCACTTCAGTCTTTTGCTTGTCTGTTGCTTGCTTATTCTAACACTTAACTCACTATTCTTTTATCAGCTATTTATAATCCCTAGGTATATGAAATCCTGAACTCCAGTCTAACTGCATTATCCTTTTATTTACGTTTCAGACAAAGACAAGTTAAATTTAGGAAAAGAAGCTTTAGAAGCAACAACTTATATTGAAGATCCAGTCAAGTAAGAATAGTTTTAAAATATCTATGTAGATAGATTTACTGACACTTAGTTTCGTCCCAAAAGCTTAACACAACCAAGTTAACAGTCTTCTGGTCTATTTATTATTTTTTGGTCTTCCTGGATGCAGATTTTTTGCAATGATAGACATGTTTTACAATTGAGCTATAAAGACCGTCATTTCTTACAATTTACAAATATACTTAGAATGATTAATTATTAGTTAATATTGATATTGAACGTCTAGATTCTTTTTATTTTTAAGCACGTTAGTCAGCGTATGCGCAACCATGGACTTGGACGTGAAGTCCCAACAAGTACAGGGTGATCTGTGGATTGTTAACGTTACACCGAGCGCACCGCCCATCTCGACGGCAGGAGTTGACAGAAATGAAGCACATGCCTCCGCCCTTCGTTATCTGCGGCGTGTTCTTGAACGAACCCATCTTTATGATGCTGAGAAGGATTCGTCTTTACTTGAACTATAGGGTTCTCGTTTTTTTTTCAACTACGGTAACATCTCTGTGCTATACAAGCAGGTGTACTATTCCGTTTCAAAATATACTTATCATTAAGAAAATGTGAGGTTTTATTTGCCTGCATTCATAATTTTTTAGAAGAATGTCAATAGTAATTAGTTTAACTTATCTTATCATACGGAGGTGGGCGCTGGCTCCTGTGCCACAGCTTTACAGCTACTTCAGGCGCCATCGAAATACTCAATTTGTAAATAGGTTTTAAGCTAAACTAAATAAATAAAAAAAATAAAATTAACACTAAACATGCCAATAAATAATAACAAACACAGCTGAAGTAAAGTTGACTTTATGTTAAAAAGAAAGACTATATAGTATATAAAAAATAACTTAGATCTAGTCAGAGATTTCAATTTCTGAGGAATCTTTACGTCGACGCAGAGCGCGATCGCTCGTGATGCTTTGGAGCCAGGATGTTGTCTTTTGTGCTGCAGATCGCTTCGGGGTTCGTCGCTCAGGCGTTGGGGGTGGTGCTGCCTGCGGAGATCCTCTGCCTCTGCCTCCACGTGCTTGTCGTCCACGAGCACGTCCACCTCTAGAGCCCCGGCCCTTACTTCGAGATAAGGGCATACTTTCATCATCACTGGACAATAGGATCGGCTCTCGTTTTAAAAGTACAACTAGCTGTTTTTCGTCTTTACGTTTTGCTTCCTCTTTGGCACTGGCAGCATCGATTAAACTTTTTAGTTGATCAGAGTCTGCTGCGTCCAAGACTTCCTTACACATTCGGATGCGGTCATTAATTTCATCTTCAGTCTCAGCTGTAGATTCAAGAAGAGATTCAACGCAGCGGCGACGATGAGCGTCCAGAACACGCCGAAAAACGTCGTCATCACGTTTCAAGGTAAAGTCTCGTACTGCTTCTGTGATTGCTCGAACTGACAAAACTGACAGTTGCTTTTCGGCAGGCTGCGCAGCATAGAAAGAACTTACTAAGGACTCAACATCGGGCGCTTCAGCTGCAGCTACTTCAATGTGGCCATTCTCTTCCCCATCTTTCAATTGATCCTTTCTTTCACGAATTCTTTTTTCTCTCTTCATAATCAAAACATCATTTGGATTAGCAACAAGGCCATTAAAATTTTGACCGAACCTCACACGGTTAAAATCTTGATCATCTCTTTCATAGAAAACACTAAGTCTGATAAGGGGCAGTGTAGGTTGTTTTGGATCGCCACTTTTAAGTTTATCCGCTTCTTCTATTGCTTCATTGACTTTATTTTTCAAAAAGTTTTGAACTTTCTCATTTTCATTTACATCACCTTCACCTAAATTTTCTTCAGATAAAACTACTGTCTTAAAAATGAATGGCCTTACAGTCTTTAATGATAGAGGCGTTACAATGAATTCTTTTTTGTGTAATTGTAGTAAAGCACAGTGCTTTTGTAAGGCTTCTCCAGCAGCCAAAGATGTGGCAACAGTGCTACCAGGTTGAATAACAGAAAAACAGCCCTCTTCACCCATCTTCACATCTCTCATAGGAAACACTTGACTGTCATGCTCGTGTCCCCATATAACAAGATCTAGGAATTTTGGCAAAACTCCCTCAGATATGTAATTATTGGGCCCTCGATCAGCTCTGTTCTGGTGTAAAACTAAAATATTGAACCAATCAACTCCATCTTCCATAAGTTCCATTTCAACTTTTTTTTCAGCAAACAGGCGAGCTAGACGTTGGTCTTTCAAGTGACTTAAGCCATAAAGAGATAATTTAGTTTCACCTTTCTGTATGAGTACAGGTGATATTTTAACTTTCGTATAATCAGTCCATTTGCCAAAATAATTAACAAGGCCTGTAATCGATAGAATATCCAAGGAACTGACGCTGCCTTGTCCAACAGGATCATCATGATTACCATGTATTGACAATATAGGATAAGACACATTTAAATTTGGATCTTCATAGTTAATATTTCGTGAGAAATTTTCCAATTGATCAGACAATACTTCGATATTTATAGGTTTATCGCCAAAACAATATTTTCGTATTATTTGTGTACATTTATACATACAACTGGGGGAGGGCTTTGCGTGATCAAAAAGGTCTCCTCCAAGAAGTATGAAGTCTACATCATATTGTACCGCTGTAGAAAGAACTTCCTCGAAGGCTATGAAACTGTCTTCACCTCTTACAGCATCGTTTTCTAAGTAGCCTAGGTGAATGTCAGATGCTATTAGTACTCTCAAAGTATCATCTGGAGACCAAGAATTTTCACTCTGCACCATGATGTTAAATACCAATTATTTTAACTGAGCACAATGTAAACTATAATAATACTAATATTATTTACATAAAACCTATACAAAACCGGCTCTTCGAATCAATATACAAAATAATGCCGGCATAAACTACAGGCCACTACAGAGTATAATATTTTACAGCATCAACCAAATTTTTCGCTATCAAACGGCAAACCATAAACAACAGAATATAAAAATTGTAAAGAAAAAAATAAGGATACTGAAAGGGTTGTAATTTTATAATGCTATTATTATAATACTGGCAACGATTAATAAAGGTTTAATGTCAAAAATTACATACAAGAAGCTTGAAACAGTAGATGTCAGAATATTACATTATTTATTATGTAGTAATTTAACAAAATTATCAAGAATTTAAAGTACTACGAATGCAATATAAAAATGGTGAACTTTGTATAATGAATATGATGTCAAAGACGTTGTTGCTTATCGGAACCCTTGTTGCAGCTCAGTTATTTATCTGTGGTTACTTTTTCGTTATTCTGACCAAACTATGATATTTGACAATACAGCGTAGTACATGTCAAATTTTATTTAAAAGCCGCATAACAAAAATATTATAAGAATAGGCGTGTGTCTAAGTCTAGTATTCAGAATAATAAAGTAATGATTTTCCGTGATTAAATTTTGATTTCAAAATTCAATATGGTCTAAAATACGACACCTAAAGATTCCTGGGAATTTATCTATCAAATCTAAACAGAATTTTTTTCGAGATTCAATTGTTTGTTTCTAGATAACATAAGAGAAAAAGTGTATAATGGCTCTGGGAGGGTCAACATTTCTACAAAATACAACGATGTTAGAGCAGTTGCTTGAAGAGATCAACTTTCAGCGAACAAAAGAGATGCGGCAATTGATGAAAGACGGTTAGTATTCGTTCGATATTTTTGACAAAACTTAACTTTGCGAGTTGTTAACTTAGAAGATTCTACTAAGAAAATCTCTTAATTTGAATTCCCGTATATGGCTTAATATATCAAAATTTGGGCTGTAAAGATGCCAATAGAGAGCATTCTTTTTGATTTACAAAATATTTTTTTTAGTCCAGTGACGTAGTTAAAAGGTCTCGGTTAGAATCAAAGTAAAATAATAATGCATTTTATTTTAAAAATCGAAAATAAATTGAAAAAATTTTCGACTCGGGCAGGACATGAACCGGCATCGTCAGCGTTCCATGCTGTTGCTCTACCAATTGAGCTACCAAGTCCTATACCGCATCGTCGAATTTTTTCAACTTATTGATACATGCACCTCTCGCGCAATGTAATTTCAACTTTATCACTTGCGTATTGAGGTTTAACGTATTATGCTTGCTTTTGCTTAGTTATTACATTTGAAAACTGCAATATTTTTGACATGTAATTGCACATGAAGGCACTATATAATGTAAAAGACGAAAAAATTTTTTTTTTTCAATTTATTTTCGATTTTAAAATTATATAGTGCCTTCATGTGCAATTACATGTAAAAAATATTAATGTTTTCAAATGCATTTTATTTTATTATTTTGAGCTTCCTAGAGATACCTTAAAGCCTTTAGTCAATATAGTGCTGTTGCTCTTATTTATTTTATTTATAATTTTTTTGTTTGCTGGGCCTTAAATATTTATAAAAAAACGACATTAAGGCTTTTCTGGGTTTTGAATTTACAGTTGCCTGTGTTCATGCACTAAGCATATTTCACAGGGCAAAACATACTAATACATACAATACTTTTTAAAACTGTGTTATCTTTCTAAATTTTCAAAGCCGAAGAAGATAGACTTAATATAGTATGGGCTGCGGTATTTTACCTTCCATTAAGTGAATCTCATGCTTGTCTGTTCCTCTCTATTAAAAAAAAAAAAAATAAAGTAAAATTTTGTGGTAATTTTGTGTCACATAAATAAAAAGCAAGTTCATACAAGACATTTACTGAACTTTGATTTACAACAGCAATAATACAATGTTTTATATATATTACAAAGAGAACCTGGACCTTTCATGTGAAGAATAACAAAATAATTGCACGCAAAACATAGTAAACCAAGTATTGGAATGTAGTATGAATCTGATAATTGTTTCTGAATTTAAAGTCGAGGCTTCAAAGTCTTTTTATTAGCTTTAATAGGAATATGCTTATAAATATCTTTTAAAAACAATACAACAAAGCTGGTTGTTTGAAAGTTCTCTCTTAATTCACAACTTGTCTTCAAAATAAATGAATGTTTATTAACATAGATTATTTACAAATAACAAGATTTCCTTAGGCAATTTTAATGTTACAAGGCAGCCATTGAAGTAATCTGTACAATCTATAAAATTATATTACTATTCTATTTGGGTCTTCAAGCTCTTTGGTCGTCATGTTTTATTCTCATTTAGCACTATATTAGATCAATCACAACAGCTTGAAAACCCGAGTAGCTTTTGACTTATATTCTAATGTTATACATATACAATTTAATGTGCATATTTTGTCAGTCTGTATGTTATTTGCTATTTCATTATAGTGATTCCGCCAAGCTTATAAACTACCTACATATAGTTCAATTAAGTTGCTTCATCAAAAATGTTACACATTTTCCTTCATGTTTCCCGAGTAGTATGTATATGTTATTTTTCATCATGCCATCAGTTAAAGATTTTCTAATAAGAATGTTGCTGTTGCTTATTTGTTTTTTTTTAGATATATCAGAAAAGAATAAATAAGCTTTTTAATCAAGCTCAATCAATGAAAATCTATATCACAATTATCAACTGAAAAAATAATTAATCTTTTAAGACTATGCAACTATTTTCAAGTAAACAATATGAATTTATCGTCAAAGGCACTTTAACATTTTAGATAACTACATTGACCAGTAAGATAATACATATATACATTACAAAATTAAAATAGCTAAAGATTACAAGAAGTATTTTAATTAATTTATATTTTCAAGTTAAATAGGTATTGTATAGTCAATTGCTTTCAGATTCTGGCTTCGTAGTGCTTCAGGGTACAACTTATTGGACAGATTTGTTTGTGCGCCATTTTTTGTTTCAAGAGGAACAATCAATAGATTGTGATGATTTGCTGTTTTTTGTTCGCAAGAGACACCTGAAGGGATCCCCTAGGTATCTTCCCAAATACGAAGTGAGTATTGAATAATTCTCTAAAAATTATTATACAAGTTCAGAAACTAGCAAACATTTGTTCTTTACTTAACTGAAGATAAAGAAACGATTAAGCGATTTATACTTAATATCTTACATTCACAAATAGTGTATGTAATATGTTGTAGTTGATTAGGTATAGTTTTCGTGCCCCGTGGATATTGTGTTGAAATTGTATAGTTTATTTAAATTGTCCTTAAAATGTTGTGCGGTGGAATATATTTAAAATGCCAACTAAACATTCTGATATTGAATATGATCTTCAAATATTGCAAAGGAGTACAGTACCAAACTTTTCTAGAAAAATAATTATGTTTTCATTGACAATTTAAACAATATTTTTGATTATAGAAAAGCACTGCATATAATTCGCGTATTAAACTTTTAAAAATATTACAAAGACTTCTTCGTCATCCTTGTTCTGTTTTCTGTATTGTGTATCATTTATATGGAGATGTGTTGTGTTACATATTTGTATAAAAGCCTTTCAATTACGTTGTAGTGTCAATAGTACAAATACTTTTATTGATATATAAAATAACCTATTTCGTTAGCTGGCCATTATTTGAGGTTCCAAGTATGAAAATAATGATTACTCCCACCTTTATAGACAATAACCTAGAAATAGCACCATATGGATTTACGTTATCAAATCCTTTAACTATATGGAAATACAAAAGTCTGCATAGTAACAGTTATAATGTACTTTATTTTAAACAATATAAAAATATGATTTCTTACAATAGTCTGATTTTACAACGAGAGTGTACTTAGCTGTGTCTGCTCTCACGGACCGCACTCCGTGCACCGAGTGACCGCACACCGCTCAATCTTACACAAATTCTAATCACAGTATATTTTGTTAATAAATAGTATGTTTTCGTTAGACTCGAGATTGATTATAACCACTTATAAAATATACAATAATTACAAAACAAAAAATTTCAATTATCCAACAGTTCATTTATAATAATTGATTTTTTGTATTTGTTCATTATTAAATTATTTCTTTTGTAATCTTACCCTAACAATAAAAGCATACAGAAATACAAAGGTTCGGGTTCGACCGCCGTTCGCGACACTCATTTCATCACAAGGGAGATCCCAAAGTATTCACGCGTAACACTGACACTATACACCCACTAACTCGCCGCGTCGCCGACGGGCTTGTTCGCAGACCGACGTGGAGGTGTTCCGGAAGGACTCTAAGAAACTGCCAATTGGCGACCCGGAGATCGATTGGGAGGAGACCGTCTACCTAAACCTGATCGTCCATCAGTTCGACTACACGCTCACTTTAGCCATCTGCACGCGAACCAGCCCCAAAGAGTTGCAGGTGCTGAAGCGGCATTCGCAAAAGGTGAGCGTCATACTCGTTCAGGTGGGGGAGGCGACGGCGGGCGCGCGCGTCACTAGCTGAGCCGGCTAAAGAGCTTGGTGCGCGGCCAGAAGAGTGGCCAGTCGTAGCGCCGCGGCACCGGTCCACGAACGTTGCCTTCGAGGTATGTAAATATCCAGTACCACCACTCTCGTTGGATCATGTAATGATTGTAACCGTTTCCCGCTCGATGCGGCGTCACTAGTAGGGAGTGAAATGTCCAAAACAGACGCGTCGTTATGTAGTATGCTATCACCACATCTACCGTGTAGTGTCCATGCGCCACCAACACAAATGCGACGCCGACCACAGCGGAAACCCACATCGCCCAATGCATCGGCCACAGCTTCTTCGGCGAATACTCTGCGACTATTAGGTAGCTCAGGACCAGTATCATCGTATGGCCCGAGTAAATGAAGTCTCCACAATATGTGTGCTTTCCATTGATTGACAAACCGAATCCAGATATCAAATAGAACATTCTTTTTATAATCAGGAGTGGTGTGGTGTTGTTACTCTTCGGACTACAGTAGTATGTTGTGCTAGAGACTGGCAGGACGGTCACAAACATTGTGAGTGATCGGTATAGGTACAGCAGGCCTATGATGAAGAACAACCGCCGGGACACGATGAACCTATGTTTGTGCAGAATAACAACGAGCATCGCAACAGTCGTTGATATCATGATAAGGTATTCTGAGACTGACAATCCCCAATCTCTCGCTGTTATGTTATCGAGAACGATATCATTTAGCGGCGCTGTCGTATTTCTGTCTGGTAGTCTCTCGTGTACGAGTGACAGAGACATCATGTTAATGCATACACATATGAAGAGGAAGAAAAATGATATAATGGTCTTTCCGATCTCCTTTGGATATCTCTCCTCCCTGACTGTGCCCGGTGGCAATTCGACCATGAAGTCGCCGCCATGAGTCCGTTGTGGCGAGTGGTCCGGGTCAGACTCGTCGGTGGTGGGCTGAGGCGCGTCCGCCTTGCGGGACAACAGTGGTTGCCTCTGCATTAGTTCAGCTAGATTAGGCATTTCACGCGATTCGTTCTGTCTATTGGATGCGTTATTGTTTAGATCATTCCGATTAAGTCGAGGTTCAAAATTGATCCCTTTGATGTCTTCTCGTGCCGTGTTGGTGTCTATATCGACATGACAGTCGAGAGGTGGTGCTGGCGGTGGTGTCGCGCTAGAGGCGCGCGGCTCCGGCGCTAGCTGCTTAGCAGGTAGCTCATGGGCGAGAAATATGCGTACTGACTCTACCAGTGGCTCGGCGTAGTTGATCTGCTTCGGTGGTGGCGGCTCCTTATCCGGAGAGCGAGCTGAGATCGTCATCCAATCACCATTGGACTGAATGCTTCCTGAAATTGAGAAAAGTCTACGTTATTACCTGTACGTATCAATTTATATCTTACAATTAATCTGTTGATAATGATTAAGTTATAATTTGCTTATCGATTTATTTTATCGATTAACACTATCGCTTCGGTATTTTATTGTGGAGTTATATTTTTAATTATGCAAAACGCTATAGCTGTCCTTTAACAATTATTACTTTATAGATCGTCATTTCCGCTCGTTTTAAGTATATAGCGCGTTTCCTTTTACCTTAAACATCGTTATGACGCTTTGTATTTCCACAATGTAACAATATTATGCAAACAAACGGACAGTAATGAAACGTGATTTTCTTAGCCTAGGATTCGATCTCACAAGACTTGAATTTGATAATAGTGCCATAGTACCTACAAGTGTTGGAACTTTCACTTTTATTTATGACACTTAAATAACTTGTAACTGGTCTTTATTGGTCGATTTAAGTTCAAACAGAGAAGTCTGCAGAAGTTAATCGACCTCTTTTGTTTTTGTAAACTATTATTCATCGGCGTGTATCGCATCGTACACCTACCGACGTCTCGCACATCACATTCGCATGTCTCGGCTGTGCAAAACAATGATGCATTTCACGAATTCGTAAAGATTTCTCCGTTCACACGCAGCGCCCGTGTGTTTTGCATAAAAAACATATCGTTAAGCGAAAAATAACGCCTATTGTCGACACTCACTCGATCAATGTGCGAGTTGTCATTCTGGGCGACCGTGGCTCCTCATCGATTCGGCGGTCGGTCGTCCAGCGCGCTCGGTAGAAAGCCGAGCTCGCGATGACAATCCGCGAGGAACCAGCTCAATCCGATTATATTCACTTTACCTAATACGGGGAATGGCTACAAGAATTGGCACTCTAGACCCCAACACAAGGCACACACACTACGCACTGTTTAACGGTGTCACAAGCGTCGGTGCGATAACGACTACGCTCGCTAAAAGTCGGACGCGTACTAGAAAATAATATGTAATTCTGGTTGGCTCCGGCCCGTCGCTCGGGGGCTATCGGCGCGCTCCGCGCAAACTCGGCTCACTGAAAATAATTACGGGGGGGTGACGTCACGAGAGAGCGCGGTGCGGGACGGCGAGAGAGGGGCAAGGCCCCCCGTTCTTGGAACGGTTGCACGTCGCCCCCCGCCCCGTACGACTCACGAGATGAGTTAACAACTTAACAATAAAATAGAGAATTTTGCTGGATTACGAATTACAATTGTGTTTTTGTTTTAAAATACGGCTTTGCCAAGCCTCCTCCTCAGTCTAGATATATAGGCCACTTGAAAATGTGCGTTGTTAAAACTTTGATTCTCTATAAATATAAACCGCTTGCTCCATTAATAAAAAATCATCTATGTAAGTTCCTAAGATATGCGGGCTTCAATTAAAGACTGGAATGAACAGTGACCCGTGAGTAATGTGGTGACTGCATTGTCCTTACCAACTTCAAGTCGCTTCTATAGATTACTTGGTCAAAGTTCAAATGCTCCAATCCTACGTTCAAATATAGATTCAAATACAGATTACAAATATAAAAAAAAAACCACAGAATATACATATTATTTTGTCGAAAAAAGAATATAGCTATAGACATTTCTGGAAGCCTTACACGTGCAACGTTAATGGATTTGGGAGACCAGTAACCGGTTGGGTCCGGGCTTTCGATGCCGGGTGCCGGCGCGACGATGCCCCGCCTTTACAAACATCTGACGGAATCTCTGACAAGGTCACAGCCGTATCAATAACTGTCTCGTTGTCGCTATCATTCGAAATCCGTTTGGGTGATTGATTTGGTTAATAAAACTTATTAACGAGTTTAAACGCGAAGTACGTCGACTCGTAGGTAAATGTACATCGTATTTGTTAAATTTATCTAATCAAAGGTATTTATTACTTATAAAATATTTATGCCCGCAAAAAATGTACTTAACAGCTTTATACCAACTTAAATATAATTTAAACCCGTTAGAAATTTTTTGTGTGTACTTGCGCAAGTGCCACATACCTACAACTTAATTAATCCGTGTTTTCGCTTGAGTTTTATTTAAAATTTAATAAAATTATGTTTAAGAACATTGTTAAGAAACGATTATTTTAATTTATATGGATGATTTCTGCTTGCCTTGAAACCGTTCTTTATTATATCTTGAGTGGGTTGCCAGTTTTTAGTGTTTAACTTAAATGAATTTAAATGTTAAAACACATTTAACGGTTTAGAATGCGTAATATATTAGTTAACTTTTTAAAATTTGAATTAGTGCAAAGTATCCGAAACGCCGGGCCGTAGTGAAAATAAATTGACAAAAATTTTGCTAAATTATATCTCGTTATAAACCGTTAATAGTGTCTATTTAAATGTGATCGACTCTCGTAAACTATAGAAATAAAACGGGTAAACAATAACATAATAATAAATATAGAAGTAATTCCGTTTTAACCATTGTTTTATATCAATAGCGAGACTATTTACAATTCTTTGAATCCAATAAATGAAAACCACATTAATATATTTGCCACTTTAATTACAACGGGTTATTCTCGATTCCGTATTAATGGAATATTCTAGTCGTCACGATAATTTGTTATTAATTTAAAACAAAGATTTTCATTGATTATGTTTAAAACCGTTTGATAAAATATTAACCGTTATCATTAATAATGCTTGTTCCACTTGTCGTAAAAACGGTACAGAGCTAAATGTATTTAAAAGCGATAATTTAAAACTTTAACGGTTTAAAAAGCGATGTATATTAGTGAATCTTATTTGATAATTATGTTTACTACGGCCTGACGTTTCGGATCGTAGCAGCATCCGTGATCACGGGAAGGCTTCAAATAATTTTAAACATATATCGCGTCAAGTGTAAACTCCTCGCGTAAACTACAGACAGTATTTAAGCGATATCATTGTTTAATCTATGTAGAGAATTAACAAACTGTCACATTTTTATAAAGACCTGAATCGATCAAGGATTTGGGGCCGTGATCTGATTCTCGAATCTAATTTCAACTAATTTCAATAATGATTAAAGCTAACCGTTTGTTAAATGTTACATTTTCATGGGATTGTTAAATTTGACACAGGTTGCAGTTAACTTTCTTTAGCCTGTTTATGCGTCGTGTAACGGGTTAATTGTGAGGGCGTTAATTTTTATAGTTCTCTAGATCGGTGTAATAAATGAAATGTGCTAATTATTGCTAATAACTAGCAGAGTGAATACTTGTTTTTCTTTTGTATATAGTGAAATCTTGTTTTCCCCAGTGGGGGGCTAGAGCGTACACATTTTTGTGTCTGTTTACATTGATCGATTATATTTAGAGAATATAAGTTGATTAGTCCCGTGCCCCGCTCGAGCGGAACAATTCAGGATTCCCCGAGATTTGAACCCAGGTTAGTTTAAACGCAAAGCTGGACAGTACCATTAAGCTACGGTCAGAACAGTATATAGTTGTTAGTCAAAATATTACACATCGTTGTTTTCGTTTCGTTTCAAGATTCAATGAAACTAATTTAATTTTTCCGCTGCGACTGCGGATCTAATGGAAATGTTGTAAGCCAGCAATTTACGACGGTTTTATGACCTAGTATGACGTAATCGTAATTCGAATGTTTCTCGCCTACATTTATTTGCTTATTCGGTTAACAAAGTATATTACCGAACGAGGCTAATAATTCTGTTTTTGTCTTCCTATAGAACAATATTTTGTGAGACTTTGGTGTCGTGACTGACAGTCGAGGTGCTCATCTTTTTAATTATAGTGGAGACCAGACAAGCGTAGGGCTCACTTGACGATAGGTGAACGTCCAAACAAGATGCGTATTATGGATATTCGTAAATTCACAGACTAAAAGCGAAATGTATTGAAACTTGACGGCTTTTCACCAGTGGACGGTGGTTAGTGCCCCGGACAGAATACCACCCAATTTAGTATCCAGATCTCCAGACGAATTCCAACATGTTTCAGAAAAATTAGAAAAATTATGGACCTAATGGGGATCGTACGGCCCGTTGATATTAGCTATACATTGCTACTATTAGACTAACGAAGCGATCCAATGACAACTTAACAGTAGGTCACAATATCCCAGCCAGATTCCATCTCATTAAGATGCGCTGCTTAAGATGGCTTTGGATATTATAATAATATATATATCAGTCCGTGTTTTTATATTTTCAATATATAATATATAAAAAATAGGCTGATACCGAAACGTGGTGTCGCGATGATTTTTAGCTATACCTACCTTCCATTGCAAAAAAAAACTCTCGCTTTCAAGCTATTATGCTTAATATTATTATATTACAGAAACGTTTAAAAACCGTCTTCAAATTGTACCCCTCGGTATGTAAAATGGAAACTTAACAAAAGTCTCGTCAGGTCCCATTGTTAAATCACGTGCCAGGATCCTGGAAGATAATTTCTTTATTACCACAGTAACGTGGGAAATAAAATCGTTCAATATTCACACGAATTCGCGGCGCAAACTGTATCCTACGATCTTGTACTTGATGGTATTGAGAGAATATAAATTAACGTCGAAAAATAAAGTAAAAAAAAAAAGTTTAAACAATGTTACCAAGTAGAATGAATACAATTCTTTTAACGGTTTCAAACGTGAAATATGTTAGTCACCTTATTACATTCACTTGGTTAAGTACATTTAATTAAATTATTTTTAGTGACTAACGGTTTAAAACACGATATAGTTTAACTGAAACATACCGCGTTTAAAACCGTTAAAGTGTTTTATTTAAATGTGTACTACTCGCGTAAACTACAGACAGTATTTTACAGTGCATATTTATTATTGAATAGAATTTGTTTTTTTTTTATGCGTCATGTAGGAGACAGACAAGTGTGAGGTACACTTGATATTCGGAAATGCACAGACTGAAATTGAAACGCGATTAAACTCGTTGGCTTTTTCATCTGTGGACGGTAGTTCGTGACATGGTGGGAAGTTCAATATCCCTACCACCCATTTAATTAAGATATAGCAAATTGTACATAATTAATGAAATGTGTATAGCTACGGAATAACATATGTTTTGTTGTATAGGTGTACGCGTCGCCTTCTCGCCGCAAGATGGACACGAAGGGGGAGGGTGAAGAAATGACGTACCCCCACATCTGCTTCATGGTAGACAACTTTGACGAGGTAACTGCCGTTTCACCCCAATTCATAATAACTTTTTTTTTCACGTACAAAAATATAGACCCCAATTTATATCGATGAAGGTAGTATGTTTACGGCCAGGAATTGAACCGGCATCCACAGCGTTCGTGTTGCGTGTGTCGTAATTTTTTTTTTCAATTTTAATCGATTTTTAATTTATATAATGCTTACATGTGAAAAAACCAAAAGTTATCAAAGTAAATTAAAGTTTAGTTTAGAGTCAGAAAGCTGACAGTACGGACCCGACTCGAACCCGCGACCATAGCTTATTGCTCGTTGTAGTATCTTAAACCTCGTCCTTAATCTCGTATAAAACATATTCAAGCATTAAATATACTTAGTTTTTAAATAGTCTAGATATTTATTGGTTATTTATATAGACCAGTAGCTGTATTAATAAAAACAACACAATTTAAGAATACACTGATCCAGGACTCAATTGTTAGAGCGGCGATGTCGTGGGTTCGACTCCTGCGCATGCATTATGTTTTTTAAGTAATTCTTGAACATAAATTGTAGTATAGTACAGTATATAAATTACCTTCCTTTTCTACGTACACGTTGGTATAAGCCAGCCTAAAATATCGAACAACGTTAAAAGTTAGCTTTTTGAAAGCTCGCGCTCTGCCAAAGTAAACACCGCGCGTAATGTTTGCGTCTAGGCCGGCTAGCTTTGATGTCTGTTATTAAAAAATACTTTTTATTCCGTGAACAAAGGGCTTAGACATTTAGCTTGACATAGTGATTACATGAGTTTTATAAGTTGTTTTTTTAATTAAACGAATAATATAATACACAAAAATAACACTAAATGATTAATTGTGCTGATGACTGCAATACCTCGGTGGGAATCGAGCCCAATAATTGAACGGAGCTTTTAAAAAACTTACTCTCTACGTATATATATAGATTATTCTTATTATCCGTTTTTATATAGAGGAGGGTAGATAAACATGGGTTTCAGTTACTGGGAGGTGCGGATGTGCTGTCTACCCATATTGCCTTTTGGATACTCGGACTGAAATCGAAACGTGTTTAAGATTCGAATTTTTGTATCCCGTTTAATATCCAGAGGAAATCTAACATGTTTCATAAAATTATAAATTGAAAAATGTGAATCATGTTGGACCTGGTGCAGATCGAACCCAATACCCGGTAATTTACTATACATCGCTACGATTAGACCAACGAACCCGTCAAGTATTGGATTAAATCGAATGTCCGTTTACGTAACGCGCGTTGCCTAACATTGCGCTAAGTATGGCCTTAGATTTTAATCCCGGATAAATTATAAATTTTTAAAAATAAATTAGATATCTTTTAAATGAAACAATTTAACGGTTTAAAACGCGATGTATTAGTTAAACGGCCCGACGGTTTGAAGTTAAAAATCATTTTCGAATAAGTTTAACTAATACATCGCGTTTAAAACCGTTTAAGTGTTTTATTTAAATGTGTACTACTCGCGTAAACAATAGGCAGCGTTTAAATTAGATATTTGTAAAAAGCGTCTCGATCAATACAACGAACACAGAAATATGTTCGCCATATACCTCACTAGGGCAAACGGGACTTTACTTATGTGATTGAATGGCTTTTTCTTGAATAGATTGCACCAGAACTGCATCAAACAGATTGAATTCTCAATGGCTTCGGGCCAATATTGATTATAAAAGCAATCTATAGCTTCTGTAATATTGGCTTTCTGAAGTGAACAAGGTTTAGGTCCGTACATTTTAAAATTGTATAACTACCCACACTAATTGAAAATTAATGAGAAATTAATGAGTTAACTACTTAAACGTGACCATAAATAAATTGAGACATTAAATCGATTGAACTGCCTATAAACACGTTGGAAATAAAAAGGAACTACTTTACTAATAATATTAAGAATAATTGTTTTTTCAATTACCTACACGTTCAATTAGACAATATATACTACTGTCTGTAGTTTACGCGAGTAGGATACATGTAAATAAAATACTTTAACGGTTTAAAACGCGATATATATTAGTTAAAACTATTTAAATAAAACACTTTAACGGTTTAAAACGCGATATATTAGTTAAACTTATTTGAAAATTATTTTTTAACTTCGGCCCGACGTTTCGGATGCTTTGCAGCAGCCGTGGTCACGGGGAGACTGAGTCTGTCATGGCTGTCACGGCTGCTGCAAAGCATCCGAAACGTCGGGCCGAAGTTAAAAAAATAATTTTCAAATAAGTTTAACTAATATATCGCGTTTTAAACCGTTAAAGTGTTTTATTTAAATGTGTACTACTCACGTAAACTATAGACAGTATTTAGTTAAAACTATTTAAAAATTATTTTAAATTTTTTGTTGGAAGCTTTGCAGCAGTCTTCCTACGGTGGAGTCTCCCTGTGACCACGGCTAATATATATCGTGTTTTAAACCGTTAAAGTATTTTTTAAAATATCTTCTCCTGTTAAGAAGTTATGTAGGTTTTTTGGTTCAGTGGTAAGTTGTAGGTTTGATTTCCATCGGGTAAAGCGTGAAATGACAGTATACGATTTTTCTCAGTGTTTAAGGACTAGGTATGGGACATCGGGATAATAAATGGTCGATAAATGTCGTGAAGTATACTCGAATGGCCAAAGCTATCTCGATAGCACATTGTTAGTAAAACACCTAATTAATTTGTAGTGCTGAGTTATTACACCTTCCATCTAGTGGATATACTTTTCCGTTCTCTAGGCCTAAAAGAAAATTCGCTGTAAATATTAATAGCTTCGTTGTTTTCACTTAAGAATTTCGCAAGAAAAAAACATTTAGCACTGCATAGCGTGTAATGTATGGAATATTGATTATAAATTAATTGAAAGGAAATTTTATACGTGTATTATTAGACTAGCTGTGTCAGCGACTTCGCGAGATTCGTTATTTTGCGCATGCAAATTATGTTTTCGCAAACCTCTTCATCTTTATAAAATTAAGCTGTTACCCACGACATCGTCGAAACCCATAGAGATGAACATTTTCCCTCGTTTTTTTCAGCTGCTTCTTCGCTCCTATAAGTTAGAGCGCGATGTCCTATAGCCTTCCTCGATTAATGTTTTAATTAATACAAAGATTATTTTTCAATTCGAACCCGTAGTTTCTGAGATTAGCGCGTTCAAACAAACAAACTTTTCAGCTTTAGTAGTATAGATAAGAAACAGAAGTATGGGATAAAAATTGTTATATAAAGTTTGTCTGTTCTCAATAACTTCTGAGAGTACATTGTGAAAATGTATACTCGTACAGAAATGGAAAGTTATATGAAACTCGTGCTCCACGCCTCGCTATTCCATGCTGCAATGTAGGCCAAACTGATAACAATATTTTCTGCTTCAATAATTATATTTTATATATACTTCTTACGTATTATATTAGTAGTCATGGTCACGGCTCCAAACATCCGAAACGTTGGGCCGTAGTTAAAATTAGTTTTAAATAAGCTAATATATTTCGCGTTTAAAACCGTTGAAATAATTCTATTTATATTACTAAGTTACTGTTTGACGTTGATTATTATTATTTTATTGATTGTATTCTCGTACTGTAACTGTGTTATATAATTTATACCATCCAATGTTATAAAGCTGAAAAACGTCGCGCTGCGACCAATGGGAACGAAGGCAGAGTGGGAAATGTGGAATAACGCGGAAAATTATATATATTTGAGGGTTCCTGTCGTTTCCGCTGCGATAACGGTTCCAGATTCTCAAAAAGATGATTCCTATTTAAATGATCTAAAAAAAGTCTGCGCCACTATACGTCTATCATTTAAAATTAACTTGCTAGAATTAACAGCTATCTATACGACTAATATATAGAACTGAAGAGTTTGTTTGTTTGTTTGAACGCGCTAATCTCAGGAACTACGGGTTCGAATTGAAAAATAATTTTTGTGTTGGTTAGAGCATTTATCGAGGGAGGACATAGGCTATAAAAAATCGCGATGTGACTAATAGAAGCGATATAGGGGGAAACCATTCGGGAAAATTATTAATCATTATGGGTTTCCGAGGCATACGCTGCAAAAACGGTTCGAGATACCGTAAAAAATATGTACGATTGAATCATTCCTCTTTAAATGATCTAAAGAGTCACACGCGACAGTATATGTCCATCTTTTAAGAATAACTTGTAAGAAAATACTGTCTATAGTTTACGCGAGTAGTACACATTTAAATAAAACACTTTAACGGTATAAAACGCGATATATTAGTTAAACTTATTTAAAAATGATTTTTAGCTTCGGCCCGACGTTTCGGATGCTTTGCAGCAGCCGTGGTCACGGGGAGACTAAAGATGGAGGATGTCTCCGACGTCAAAGTAAAAGTTGCTACGCTAGCGCCATCTGTTCCGTCGAAGTTGGTATTTGGGTATGTGGGAAGTGGGTATTTCCAAATATCAACTTCGACGGAACAGGTGACGCGTTTTAAACCGTTAAAGTGTTTTATTTAAACTTGTAAGAACGACGGGAAGGGACGCGACCGACGTCGTGAGTAACAGTTCAAGTTGATAAAGAGAAAAGGGCTTGCAAAAACTAATTTGGATGCCCAAAATATCAATTCTCGCGGATGAAGTCGCTGGCACAGCTACTTTATATATATTATGTAGATATATATAGCGAGTTAGGGTTTCGCTGCGCCAACGATTATAAATGTAGTGTTGGTAAAATATAGTTTAGCTAAACATTAATAAGTTTTACACTGAACTCGCATGACTCCATTCATATGGTTTCAATGTACACAATCCAATTAGCGAATTTCTTAAGCGGCATTATTTTTAATGGGATCACGTAAAAAGCCACGCACACATAATTGAACGTCACTCTATTCATAACAATGTCCCGATAGCAGCATAACTTCGGTCGTGCGATCTAAATTTCGTCGACTATTTATATTGCGTGAATTTAAAACTACCCATTTGAGTACTGTCTGGTTTAAAACGCGAATTTAGCAGTAATTTC